GAAGATTGGAGCCGCGGAGGAAGACGGGCAGCCCTGATGGCCAATGGCTGGGGATCAAGGGCGGGGCTCCGAAGAAACTTGCGCGACTGGGCTGGAGGAACTGAGGGCGTAGCCCGGAGCGTGACGGAGATTGGCTTAGAAGCAAAGACTGGCAAGGCCTGCGGCCAGTCCTAGGGGTCGTCGGCCGTGCGCCCAGGACGAGACTTGGAGCAAAGGAAAGTGCAGAATTTGGCCCTGAACGCGGTGGCCGGAGGTGGCCTCGAGCGTTCCCTGAGGCTGTGGCGAAGTCAGACCCTCTGGCCACCCAGGCAGAAGCAAGACCTCCAACTTACCGTGAACTTGGCCATCACGGCCGAAGGACTCGTGAATAATTCAATTCCTTACTACCCACTATTCCGCTGCAGATGATACAGAGAGGACAGAGACTCGTGGAGGTCACTCAGCTGCAGCGCAGGGTAGTGCGAAGACGTGGAAATAGGTGGAATCCTACTTAGACGCGTTTTATGATTTTCTGAAAATGTTCTTCCAGGGATCAAATGACATCCGGGCCATCGCCCTGCTAAGCCTTTGGTGAATAAACCGAATCCTAGGACCACAAGCCCATGAGGTCAAAGCGACCGTTGGCTCCATTGTACAGAAACCAGAGTACAGACAGGTCAGCTCCTTGCCCCTGATCACACAGCACTTCAGCAGGCTCCAAGTAGCCTACTTTTTGGAAAAGGGGTGGTGAAGACCCCACCTGCCAATGCAGGAGATATAAGAGTTGTGGGTTCTGTCCCTGGGTCAGGAAGATCCCCTGGAGGAGGGCATGGGAATCCACTCCAGTATTCTTACTTGGATAATCTTATGGGCAACAGAGCCTGGCGGGCTATAGTCCATAGGGTCGCAGAGTCTGACACGACTGAAATGACTTAGAATGCTCGCAAGGCAGCGTCAGAGCTCAGCCACTGCAGGCCTGAGTGGCCAGCCACTGGCTGACAACACAACCTTGAGTAAGGCCCTCAGATTCCTCGTGGGACAAAGATTCCTACACCTTGACCTTTCCTCTCTGGGGCTGCTCCTCTGAGAACTTACATTCCAGCCTTCCCCTTGACCTTCAAGTGAAAGCCTTTGCCCCCTCTGCAGGTTACATCTGGCCTGTGAGTCCCAGCTTTTCTATGAGGTGAGGGGTCATGGATTCTTTGCAGATAGGGAAGCAGCTGCTGTCCAATGCTAGGCTGTGTCATTGGCACCTCTCCTGAACCCACCCCTTTCTCTGACTCACCAAGTGCCAGGGCAGAGAGGATTACAAATGTTCCAGATACTGGCTCTTATTTCCTATAGGTGTGGGCTGGGGTTGGTGGAGATTAAGTTCAGAGCCAGGGAAGCCTGGGAGAGAACAAGGTTGAGCTAGGCTGTGAAAATGGCTCACATTTCAGGGCTGTGCAAACCCCCTGCTAAGTGCATAATCCGTAACTTCTCAAAGGGCCTCTGTAAAGAAACAGTGGGGGGCTCACAGGTGGGAGCCACTAGCCTGGGCCTACCATCTGAATCCTGATATTCCCAGCACATTCCCACCTGAGCCTCTTCTCAGGCATCTCCCAATTGTGGTTTGCTTCCCCTGCAACTTCCAGGCCCTGGGCTAGATTTTGTCCTCTGGAGAAGAGGAAGCTGCATGCTGAACATCTGCTGGGTGTTGGGTCTTTCCTGAGCCAGACATTTCTCAAACACCATCTCATGACCTGACTTCCAGATGCAGGTGATGATGCCCATTTTGCAGATGGGAAAACTGAGCTCCGTGCAACAAGTGTTTCTTGCTGGGAGGGCCCAGGGCTGGGTTTGAACCCCTGCTTTTCTTGACTTGCTAGCCACAGGACCTTCCGCAAGTGCCTCAAATTCCCTTGCCTCAGTTTCTTCAATTAGCTCCTAGGGTTGATGGGAATGTCAATAAAATGAATGGAAGCAAACCATAACATGTTGGCCACAGCAAGTGTTTGCCCAATGTTGGCTGGATAAACTGTTCTTTTCAGGGTCTCTGTTTCCCTCTCTGTAAATAGCACCTGATGGAGTGTAGACATAGACCGACTATGGGTATGGTTTGCCATGCAAAGAGGGAGATATTTGTACTGGCGAAGTCCCCAGCTGCAGCGCCCACCTGCTAGGTCCTGTGAGGGCGGCAGCAAGCTCCTGGAAAGTCCCACAGCACCCCCAACTGGGGCAAGGGTCAGGCAGTGGCCCTGGAGGTGCTCACTGGGCTCTGGCTTCTGTTTGCTCATCAGCAAGCTGGCACTGGCCTAGCTCTCAACAATGGCAGACAGTGCCTCTCAGCATCAGCAATAGACACCCCCCACCACAGGCACCTTGGCTGTACCTGGCCAGGATGCCCAGGGGACCCTCTTCCCTGTCTGCTTGGCTTCCCCTGGGCAGGACACCGACTCTCTGCACCTCCAGTTCTCTCTGTGTCTCGGGAATCCCAGGAATCATCTGACATGACGGCCGTGAGCCAGGCCTGGGCACGGTGACAAGGGCTTAATCAACCAAGGCTAGAGAGCCGTTTGCCCAAGGTCAGGTTAGCAACACTGGCAGAAGTGGAGGGGCATGCAGGCAGGCTGAGCCGGGCTCCCAGCCCACCCTGGCCCCTCGAGAGCCAGCGAGTCTGCTTCTCATCTGGAGAATGGGGTTCCCAGGCCCTGCCTCTCAAAGGTGTTCACAGTGAGAGAGCAATGTTGTTCCTTCCCCAGGCCCCCAGGCCCTTCCCTGGTTGGAGGGACACATCCTTGCCATCTTGGACACCACAGAAATGACAGTCAGGACTGACCGGTTTCAAGGCAGTCTCACTCAGTGTCCCAGAGGCTCAGAGAGGTCAGGCCCCTCCTCTAAAAGCACACAGCAGTAGAGGAAGAACTGAATGACTGAATGTGGCCGCCCCTCCGTTATAGCAGCTCCCCCCTATACAGAAGTGTGACAGCCCACACTTCTGTCATCAAGGAGGACAGGAGAGAAGCGCTCTTCAGAAGAGTGCTGTGTGCCGGACACCCCGAGCCAGGCCATGCTGGGGGCTGCGCCCCTGTGCGGGGACACACTTAAGCCCATTTCCAGGTCACCTGAGGGGGCAGAGGAGAGACTGGACTGTGGGCTCTTCAGTTGGAGGTGGGGTTCCACCAGCCTGGGGATGTCCCAACAGGCCCTGACCCACACCCACTGCAGGCACGCTCAGGCAAGGTGGGGAGACTGATAGGCAGGAGCCACCCTTCTCAAAGAAGGCTACAGCTGTGGGAAAGCTGGCCAGGATTCCAGGGGAGGGGACTAGGGCGGCAAGGTCAGAGGCCTTACCTCCAACCACGCTGTGGATCTGCTCATTCACTCAGGGGTACATTTGAAAACACTGGTGGGAAGCTGGCGCAGAGCTGGGAGACAGGAGCCTGCTCATGGGCAGTGGGCCGGGGCAGGGGAAGACAGAGGAGGAAGGCACACGAGTGGGGTGACCTCAGATGGGGGCAGAGGCCAGGGACACAGCACAGTGGTCATGGGGCGCCAGGGCAAGGGGGCAATAGGCAATTTCCCTGAGAAGGCAATGAGTGAGCTGGAACCTAGTGCCAGGAAGGAGCCAGCCAAGGGGAGGGCTGGGGAAGGATGCTCCACTCAAGGCATGACATGTGCAAAGGCCCTGAGGTGGGGAGGCTGGAGTGACCGGAACCGTGATTACAGGGCAACATGGGGAAGATGCGGTGGGAGGTGGGCAGGGCCTGGAGGACAGCCTGGTTTCATGTGGAGGGCAATGGGGAGCTACAGGGAGACTCAAGAGCAGAGCTGAGGCAGGAGTTGCAGGGCTGGCACCTCAGGCTTCCCCGAAATGGACAAGTAGTACCCACCACCCACGAGACAGATGGAGCAACAGGAGGCTCACAGGGCCTCCAAGGATACAAGAGTGATCCAAGTTCTCATGGTTGGTAGCCTGGAGCGGGTATGGATCATCCCACCCACTGGCTGAGTCCCCAGTGAGCGAAGACAGGCCCAGGGGTCTGGGGCAGAGGTTCTCATCAGCCCACGGAGCTGGCAGGGCCCTCCCCATGTGGAGGGGAGGTGGGACCCGGATGACGCTCCTCCCACAACTCTTCCCGCGGGTCAATTTCCGCCGGGACCAGGAGCCTCCTGGGAAAGGGCTTGCGCTGACTTCGAGGACTAATTCAGACCTTTTTCAGCCTGGAGGCGGCAAATGACGAGCAGGGTGGGGGGCTCAGAGGGCTGAAGGGGTCCTGCCCTGTGGGCTCGAGTTGGCGGGCCTGACGCCAGGAGGCCACCAGGGCCTTGGGCGGCCCTGACCTGCCTGGAACACGGGGGCTGCCAGGAGTGGCCAGGTGACCACGCCATGGGCCTGAGGGTGAATAAGGAGGAGAGCTGGGGTCTGCCAGGCACCGCTGCCGGGCGACACCTCTTAAGACACTTGCAGAGGGTGGGCAAGGCCGTCCACTTTACAGACGGGGAAATGGGTGCTCAGAGAGGGAGAGCTGGCTGCCCCGGCCGGCCGGCCACCCAGCACCTCGACACAGTCGGGGGGAGAGCGCATGACGCTTCTCCTGGGGTGACTCGGGCGCTGAAGAGAGATGACTGGGTGTCTCCCATGCGCCCAGCTCTGCGCCACCGCCCTCTGGAGGGGGCTCTAGCCCCTCCCCTCTCCCCGTCTTATGGAGGAGGAAGTCAAGGCTCAGAGAGGTGGTGTCACTCGCTAAAAGCCACAGAGCAGAGTGGGGGCCAGACACTGAGTGCTCCAGAGCCCCCAGGGCAGTGCGCCCTCAGACACAGCGATGCTGGCACCCGCAGATCCCAAGTCTGATGACGACCCCAGCACCCACCCCTCTGAGAGTGACAGCAAATCATATATCCCAGGCTGTTCTCAAAACCCTTTGCTTTCCTCAGTGAACCCATGACCTCCCCAAATGCACACCCCTCTCCCCTGTCCCTTGAGGCCACTGGCTGCAGCCCCCACTCCCCGTGGTGCTATGGAAGAGACCCCTCCATTGTTCAACCAACAGTCTTTTATTACCAGGCTCCACTGGCTGGCCTGGGACACCTGGAGACCAAGGAGCCTTGGTCCCTGTCCTCTGCTCAGCACAGCAAGGCACCTGGGCTCCAACTTAGAGGTGAGAGAAGCAGGAGCAGGGATGAGAATGGACTTGCAGGCACAGAAGCCGGGTCCCTGCCCTGCTTTGAGATCGGCCAGTGTGGTTTCCAGATTTCAGGCAGACTGCCAGTGGGAAGCAGCGCTGGGGGGGCACTTCTACCAGCAAAGGGCGGTGGGGTGGGGGTGGGTGACAGGGCGGACAAAGCCGATGCTCTTAGCCGGTGGCCGAGCAGAAGAGCGTGCAGAGGGGCTGGGACCCGAGGGCCACTTTCTGCCGTGCAGGCGCCTCACTAGGACTCCCTGCCCACTCCCTGGTACTGGTCGGAAAGGTCCTCTTCTGGACGGGGGAGGCAGCTGGGGGCAGAGTGGCAGGGCATGGAGCGCTGGCCTGCCCCCAGGCGGTTCCCGAGTCACATGACTCACCCAGAGTCACAGCGCGCATGGGCCAGCGGTCACGGTGCCAGGTCACCCTTCTGGCCAGTCCACAGCTCTCGGAGCTCGACATGGCAGCCCAGGTCCCGCAGGGCGGCCTTGGCTATGTCCTCACAGTCGTGGTGGGTGGCTCGGGCTCGCGAGATGAGGGCCTCGGCCCCCAGGTCCAGGATGGGCTGTGAGAAGGCTTGGCTGCGGGCCACCAGGTTTCGGATCAGCATGCAGGCCTGTTTCTGGAAGGGAAAGCAGGTCAGTGGCTGTGAGTCAGGAGGTGGGGTCCGGGGGTGGCGTCCACTCTGACCCTGGGGTCATCATAACACAACATGACTGCAGGCAACATGCGGTAGGTGCCTACGCTATGACTCATCAAGCTAGGCCCATGCCTTCACTTCAGCCTCTTGGCACTCTGGCTGGGCTGATCCCCCCAGCTCCCAGGTGAGGAGACTGAAGCTCAGGGTGGCCGAGTGTTGGGCAGCGGGGGCTGACTCCTCAGGTGTGGGACTCAAAGTCTCTGAGCAATGTCCTTGGATGCTGGCAAGAGCCCGGCTGGGGGAGGAGGGCAGAGAGACAGAGGGAAGAGCAGGGCTGTGCCCAGGGTCCATCAGTCAAGTACACTGTTGACTCATTCAGTGAGCATCTGGGCCCTCTGCCTCTGCCAGGCAGGAGTGCTGAAAAATACCCCAACATGGGAGAGCTGGGGAGAAGCAGGTGAAATGAGGGCCTGCCCAGTCAGGGTGGTCAGGAGTGGACAAGGTGATGGGCCAGCCGAGGGCACAGTGTCCTAGAGGAGGGAGCCAAGGGCCCCCTCGGGCCTGAGCCTGGTGCGTCTCCAGACCAACCAGGAGGCCCCTGAGTCAGGATGGTAGGGAAGGTGGGAGCGGGAGGGTGAATTTCTGACAAAGCTGTCTTGTTTTGGCCCTGTCTATGCTTCAGCTTGACTGACCTCCAAAGCAGCAGCCTGAGGCGGGGCCGGGAACCTTCCGTGAATCCCAGCAGAGCCCCATCTGCGGGTCCAGCCAACTCCTCCCCACCACCATATCCCTCTAAAGAGACTGTTAGGAAAAGGAAAGATCAAATGCAAGAAGTGCATTTGATCAGGAGAGAGGACAACAGCGGGCAGAGTTCAGCACGTTTCTGGACACTGGGGGATGAGCAGGAAGGAAACCCTGGAGCCTTGGGTCACGGTGGTAATGGGACAGGTCAAAGAGGACCTGCACCCTCCGCTCTGCCCACCCCCGGGACCTGCTGGCTGGCCTCTCACCCCACCTGCCCACCAGCCTCCCGTCCTCTCCGCCTGCCGCCCACGCCTACTTGGACGCCAGCCTCCTGAGGGTGGGCCTCCATGGCCTGTAGCGCAGCCTGGGCCCCGCCGGCCTCCACGATGACGCGGCTGTTTGCTGGCTTGCGCAGGGCCAGGACGCACAGGGCCGCACAGCTCTGCTCACACACCTGCGGGTGGGTCGGGGGGTGGCTGAGACGAGGCGGACGGACCCCCCACCAGCTCCTCTGTGACCTCACTGCGACCGACCACTGTCCGCCTATATGTGTGCCGACCAGCAGGAACGGAAGCGATACCGGGCTGCGTCAACCAAGCTCTTAGAGGTGACAGTCTTGCCCCACCCTGGCCCTCACTCACCCTGCCTGCAGCCTCTGGCTTGCTGGCCTCCGAGGCCTGGCCTGACTTCCAGAGATGGGAAAGATCATCACGTGGATACAGGTGCTGATCTGGCTTTCCAGCCTTGTGGCCCCGCCTGGTATGCCCCCCGCCCTGGGGTAGGTACCTGGGGACTGGCCAGGTGCCGGGTCATGGCGGCCACAATGGACTCGGTCCCGCCGGCGCGGACGATGGCATCCTTCACATCATCATTGCCTGCGATGGCCCTCAGAGCACTCAGCACCTGCTTCACCAGCTCCTGGACAGACAGCAATGCACAGGTTACCCCCAGCAGCACCCGGGCATCATGTGCTGGGTTGCTGGGTGGTGGGAGGGGGTTCTTGAGGGAGGGTGTGGGGCTGTTTCAATGTTTGCTGTCTGAACACACATGGGACCACTCTGGGGCATGCAGGCGGCATGGAACAGCAAGGCTATCTATCACTCGCTGTATAGAGAAGGCAGGGGAAGCTTGGGGAGGTGGGCCCTGTGGTTCTGGCCACCTGCGTCCAGGACAGGCATTTGGATGACTTTGATCACCCCCTCGACCCCTCCCCAACCCCCGCCAGACACACAGAGGGGCGTGTGGCTCAGGTCAGCACCCAGAGCACGGGTGGCCTCGCTCAAGCATCACACACTTCAGCTGCTCCGCCCACACCCACTCTGCTTCTCTCACTCCTGATTGAAAATACAAAGGTGCTAAAGGACGGGGGTGGGGGTGGTGGTGTGTGTGGTTCTGCTTTCCCCCTAAGCTTTAGTTCCTTCTCACAGGTCGTGACAAGCGAAAACCGAACTTTGATTCTGGGCTCTGCAGACAAGGCCAGCATGTTCTGATGCAAGTCTGTCTGGCTGACCAGGGCCCAGAGGGGCAAGTTCACTGGGAGACCCAGAGCCTTTCCCAGACATCAAGAAAGACGACAGACTGAAATTCAGGTTAGGGACTTCCCTGGTGGTCCAGTGGTTAAGAATCCACCTGCCGATGCAGGGGGCACGGGTTCAATCCCTGGCCTGGAAAGATTTCATAGGCTGAGGAGCAACTACACCCGTGGACCACAGCTCCCAGGCCGTGTGCCCCGAGCCTGTGTTCTGCAGCAGAGAAGCCCCCATGGAGAAGCCCACACGCTGCAGCTGGAGGAACCCCTGCTCACCGCGGCAACCAGAGAAAGCCTGAGCACAGCAGTGAAGACAGAGCAGCCGAGAATAAGGAAGGGAAACTCAGGCGAGGGAGCTTCACACCCTGGGACGGCTGTGGATGCCCACCTGGTGGTCACTGCAGTCAGCCAGCAGGGCCACCAGGACGCTGAGGCCCCCGAGGTTGACGACCTCCTGGCAGAACTCGTTGCGGACAGCCAGGCGGGACAGGGTGCTGCAGAGCTCGCTCAGGATGCTGGGGTTGTCGGGGAACACTGCAGAGGGGGGAGAGGGAACCCGGGGTGAGGAGCGGAGAACCAGCCCTGGCTCTGAGCCGGCACTCCGGGGGGGAATCCCGAATCCCGCTCCACCAGGGCAGCCTGGCCGCTCTGGCCTGTCGGGGTGGAGGGACGAGGCAGGGGAGGAGGACCACTGGGGGCTGCCCAGGCCTGCGGTGCCCCCTGCTGGCTGTTGGGGAAGACACGGGAATGTGCTTTCCCCTCCACTGTGTCCCAGATAAATTCCAGAACAACTGATGATCGCGACTAAAAAAAGAAAAACCATAATAGTGCTATAATAAAACATCCGAGACTATTTTTATGATCTTGGGTTGGGAATGACCTTTCTAAGTGCAACAGGACACCTAGAAACTGCGGAAGGACATATTGATAGAGTTGACCCAGGCAAAAATTAAACACAGATGCTGCAGACAAAGTTCAGAGGCACCAGGGAGGAGAGGCCTGACTGAGGATGATGGTGGGGAGGGAGGTTAGGGAGTTGCCGGTGGGGGGTGGTGGGGCACAAAGAGCCATAATAACACCGAGCTCAGTGATGGTCAGTGTATATGGCCCCCTGGCCGGGCCACAGCCCCCAGGGACTCCATGAACTGTAACCTGGGTGTGCTGTGGAGATACTCTGGAGATGTGGTGACATCCATGACCAGCTGACTTTTAAGTATAGCAGATGACCCTTGATGGTCTGGGTGGGCCTTGTCCAATCAGTCGAGGGCCTTAAGAGGGAACCTGAGGTCTCCCTCAAGAGGAAGCAGCTTGCTAATGGACTATAGTGTTGGCTCCTGCCCAAGCCTCAGCCCGCTACATAAGTCTGAAAGCACTACAGCCACATGAGCCAATTTCTTGCAATAAATCTTCCTGTGTATATATGTATACATGTATGCCAAAACACACACACGTGCCCCCTACTGGTTCTGTCTCTCTGGAGCACTCTCACTGATATGAAGTCCTGTAAATAAACAAGGAAGATGTAACCCACCCCTCAGAAAAGCAGCTCAACTTTGCAGCCAGTCAGGCCCTGTTTGTCCCCCTCTCTGGAGATGCAGAGGGGAGACTGGGGCAGGCCCCACTCCGCCACAGACAGACCCAGAGTCGCACACATGGGCCTGACAACAGAGTCAGAGCCACAGGGCAGGCTGCAAAGAGAAACTCACTCTTCTAGCACCTTCTGTGTGCAAGACCCCAGTCAGGCCTTTTCCAGGGGGTGCAGTGCCCAGGGGGCTGGAGTCTTGGTGCCCAACTGTCTGTGCTGTGACCTCCTGTGGCTGGCTCATCGGGGTCACCTCAGAGTCAGGCACACGGACATGCACGAGAACAGCGGCCAAGTATGAACCAAAGCGTAAACCCCACCTGGAGCAGCCCCAGTGAGTGTCAGCAACACATCCCCGCCTTTGGGAGGCAGCACCCTTATTTCTCCCTTTGAGGAGCCCTCCCATCCCAGGCTCAGTCTGTGTTGCTGGACAGAATCAAGCACTTCCCTAAATGGTTCTAGAGGTGAGCACAGCATGTGGTCCAGGCCAACGATCGCTGGCTTGGAACTTTCCTGGAAAAATGAGGTGTAAGGACAGGGTCCTGCTAGGGCTATCATGTAGGTGGGACTGAACTGGCGCCTGGGGCCAACCATGCTTGAAGCTGCCCTAAACCCTGACTCTTCACTTTTGCCACACCTACTCCTACCTTTGGCAGCCTCAATGAGCACCTTTAAGCCTCCATTCTCCTGCACGATCATCTTGGCGTGGTCATGGGCATGGCCGAAGGGCACACGGATGTCATCGTCAAAGGTCATGACACGTAGGGCCCAGCAGGCCTCCCGGACCACGTCGGCACAGTGGCTGTGCCGGGTGATGGCGCCCGTCAGCAGGGGCAGCACGCCGGCCTTCACCAGGCTCTGCCGGTTCTCCTCGTGCTTCAGGCAGGCGTGGCGCACGCAGCGGATCCCGGAGCAGGTCACGTGGGCCGAGTCGGCATTGTGGGCCAGCGTGGCCACGAGCAGCTGCAGGCCCTGGGTGTCCAGGAGGTCGGGCTGGCCATCAGTCAGGGCAGACAGGGCATTGAGGGCCTGGAGGAGGAGGCCCTGGTCACCTGCTGCGGCCAACTTCCAGGTCTCCAGGAGGATGGAGTAGGCCCCCTTCTCGGCTGCCAGAAAGCGGCAGGCCTTCTGCTGCTTGCACTGCTCGCAAAAGCGGGCAAGCTGTGCAGACGCCTCCTGCGGGTGAGAGCGGGCCACAGATTCCCGCAGGTCATCCAGGGCCTAGGGGACATGGGAGAAATGTCAGGGTCAGCTCAGTCTGAAGAAGGTCACAGTGACAGTGCTGGGCCCCGGTGGGATCCCTCTGCCTGGGATCTGGGCCTCGGTGGAAGTCCTGTGGGGCTAGTTCCAGATGGGGCCACTTCCACACCTGTGCTTTTAGGAGCATTGACTGGGCTTGAGAGGCCACAGAGAGAGAGAGAGAGAGAGACAGAGACAGAGGCCTTGCTATCTCAGTGTCCCTGACAAGGAGCCACAAACGCAGAAGTGCAGACAAAAAACATTCTAGCCCTGGGCGCCAGTGCATGAAGTCCCCAAGTGAGACCATCCAGAAGGACCATCCAGTTGAGATTAGTCAACCCAGCAAAATCACCAGAAACAATAAAATGGCCATTGTTTGGGGCTGTTTGTTAGGCAGCCGTAACTAACAGACACACCCACCAACGGCCAGCTCTCTAAGGAAGGTGAAAGCCACCTCCACTAGTTCTGCCTGTATCATATGCCTTGTTGGTCTCTCTCCTTCACTCCACAAGTATTTACTGAGCAACTGCCCAATGAAACCACACTGAACACATGCTTGGTTTACCCATGCTCAATCTAAGGCTTTGGGGGTAAAATTATAATGAGAGACAACAATCTGAATGGGACAGACAAGTCTAGTGGCCACTCAGAGCCATGACTTTGGGATCGCCTCAGCCTGAGCCCAAGATGAACCTGAGCACCTGGAGCTGATGACATTATTGCATCCAGCCCTAAGGAGAGGGGGTCTACAGACACCACCAGCCCAGAGGGCTTAGATTTGGCCTCAACTGCCATGATAGTCAACAATGCCTGTCAGCCAACCCTTGCTGAGCTCAAATTTGTGGACTTAACTAAGCATATGTTATGATGAAACTGAATATTAAGAAATTAGTTAAAACCAGAATGTGTGACTTGAATAAACATTTCTTCAAAGATACACATACAAATGGCCACTAAGCACATGAAAAGATGCTCAACATCACTAATCACTGCTGCTGCTGCTAAGTCACTTGAGTCGTGTCCGACTCTGTGCGACCCCACAGACGACAGCCCACCAGGCTCCTCTGTCCCTGGGATTCTCCAGGCAAGAATATTGGAGTGGGTTGCCATTTCCTTCTCCAATGCATGCATGCATGCTAAGTCACTTCAGTTGTGTCCAACTCTGTGAGACCCCACAGAAGGCAGCCCACCAGGCTCCTCTGTCCACAGGATTCTCCAGGCAAGAATACTGGAGTGGGTTGCCATTTCCTTCTCCCACTAATCACTAGGGAAATGCAATCAAAACCAGAATGAGACACCATCACACCCATGAAGGTGGCTACTGTTAAAACAAAGAAAAAGAAAATAACAAGTGTTAGCAAGGATGTGGCAAAAAGTGGAACCCTGTGTACTGTTGGTGGGAATATAAAATGGTGCAGTTGCTGTGGAAAGCAAGTTCAGTGGTTCCTCAGAAACTTAAACCAAGAGATCCAGCAATTCTAGATACACACCCTGAAGAACTGAAAAGAAGCTCGAAAATACGTTGGCACACCCATGTTCACAGCAGCATTATTTACAACAGCCAAAAGGCAGGAGCAACCCAAATGTCCATCAGCGAGTGAATACACAAATGTGGTGTTTCCATAAATGGAATATCATTCAGCCATAAAAAGCAGAGAAATTCTGACAAGTAGTACAACACTTGTACCTTGAGGACATCAAGCCAAGTGAAATAAACCAGTCACAAAAGGACGAATACTGTGTAATTTCCCTTAGGTTCACATCCAGGGCTGTCTCCTCCAGCTTCTCTTTTTAATACTACTTTCTTTTGCAGCTAGGTGAGTCATTTTTTCTCTTTGGATCTCAATTTTCCCATCTGTTAAATGGGGATGATAACCCCACCCTTGCAGGTATCTTTGGGTTAGTAACAGATGGCACAAAGCAAGTGCCTGGTATAGAACTGAATTCACAGATGGTTCTCAGAACTTTCTGCTGCTTTACCACCAGCTTACTAGTTTTCCTTAAGGAAAAGACTGAACCTCTGTGAGCTGTGTTTTCTTTGTTTGGGTCGCGGCAGAGTGACGGCAGGCTCTGGGTCTCTGTTCACCCATCAGAAAGCCAGGGATGACGTACTTAACGCATACAGGTCAGCTGAAGAGTGGCGAGGAGGGGCTGTAATGTGCCAGTAAACAGTCGATGCTCAATAAATGACAGTCTATGATTGCACTCTCTTTTCCTGGGATTCCTGTCCATTTCATTGAGCAAATTCAGAGCTTGGGAGGCCCAAGAGAGGTTCCTCCGGGGGGCCCTCCGCCCCCAGCTCCCAACAGCAGGACAAACATGAACACTGTCCACCCCTTAGGCCCAGAGGGCTATCCATTCCCTGACCACTCTGCTGGCTCTAATCCCAGAATGCACACACGGGTGGGTGGGCAGAGCACGGGGCCCCCACGAGGCCCGCAGACATTGACTCAGGAAACCCTGGCTGCACACTCAGGCTTGCCTGTGCTTGCTGGGCTGGCTTGGACCTTCCGAGTCTGTGTCTGCCATCTGGGAACACGGAAAAAGGTGCTCCCGACAATGAGGTGACGCAGGATCATGCACGTGAGGCCCACGTGGGCCGCCCTCTCCTACCTGCAGGATGTCATGTATGGGATCCTGGGGTCCATCCGCGGAGACTTTTGGGGCCATCTTTACAATGTTGCTCAGATCAACCCCTGTGGGAGGGCGGGGGAGTCAGGAAACAGGAGACAGGCGTCAGCCCCGTGGGCCTGCTGGGGTCACACCTGGGGTCCCTGCAGCTGGGACCACCCCACTCTGGAGGCCTTCTGGGATCTGCCCAGCTCCCCACCCCACCCCCCTGCCTGGGCAGGGCCCAGCAGCCATGCCTACATGGGGCATGGGGTGTGGTGTCTCTGCACCTTGGCCCTGTCCAGCCAGCGGGGTGCAGAGGGGTAGTGAGGATGCACGCCAGGGCTGCAGTGAGTGACAACTCTGCCTGGGGGGCTCAGAGGGGAGTGCAACCTGTGCTCTCCTCCCTGGGGGCTCCCACTGGTCTGCACCCTGGCCGCATCCCCATCCTTGCTGGCAAACTCAGAAGAAGCCCCCACTGTGCAGAACACGTCTAGGTACCCCTCCCGTCCCTGTCCAGTGTTTAGTCCCTACTCTATGCCCAGGATGCTAGCTCCTGACCTGGAAGGTTGGATCCCCGGACTTCCTTGCCCTCTGGTGTCTGACTGGGTTTGGCCAATGGGAAGCCGGATCTGAGGTCAGGGGCAGGAGGAGTGGGAGGATAGGGTGTTCATTCCCAGGTTCCTGCCTCTGCCTCTGTCAGGTGACCCCCATGGTTTGCCATGGCCTGTCGTGGGAGAGGGGAGGTCCTGCTGTGGGGAGCACGGTCTCCCAACCCTGCCCACATGATTGCAAATAGCTCCCTCTTAGCCATTCTCCACGGTCTGGCTTGGGCATGCTACCTGTTTTCAGAGGCTGGTGACCAATACCCCTTCTGCCTCCATGAGCTCACAATGGGGTGCAGGTGGGGCAGGGTGGCAGGTGGCCCTGTTTCTTTGGAGGGGGTTCAAGACAAGTCTCTTCAAGAAAGTGACCATTAAAATGAGACCCACCTGGAAAGACCCAGCCCTGCAGATGTCAGGGTGCGGTCCAGGTGAGTAGAGGGTAGGCAGCAGCGTGGTGGGAGGGGGTGGCCAGCCTGCCTGGGGCACAGTGTAGAGAGGACGGCACCCAGGGCAGTCATACCAGGAGGGATGTGCTCACGGCAGGACACCGCTCTTTTACATATTAGGAGCCATGGATGGGACCTCCCTGGTGGTCCAGTGGTTAAGACTCCATGCTTTAGCCGCAGGAAGCCTGGGATTGATCCCTGGTCAGGGAACTAGAATCCCATGTGCCAAGTGGTGTGGCAACAACAACAGAAAGAGCCTCGGACTGAAGGCAGCTTTGGGGCAGAGAGCCGGACGGGCACTGAGGCGGAGCCACACTGCCCTACCTTGTGACTCAAACTGCTCCACGGCTTCTCTCACCGCCTCCTCCGGCTCCATCTCAAACTCCTGGATGTTCTCGCGAACAGCTGCGTCAAAGGTCTCCTGGGTGATACGCTTGGAGGCCATCTTTATCTCCTCCACGTGGGGCCAAGGACACCCAATAGCTGCTCTCAAGCTGGAACGGTAGAAGTTAGACTTGTTGAGGGTCAGAGGGCAGCTGAGAACCTGGCCACCATCTAGAGAGCACCTATCAAGAGGCCAGAGCCTGTAACTGTCCTGGAAAAATTCTAACAACCTGAGTCACAGCAAAGGGTGATATCCCAACAGCCATAGACCATCTAAAAGTACAGAAGAAGGCAGGTAGTTTAGTGTGTTTTATCTAAATAGGGCATGTTAATATAATGTATGCCCTTATAGTAAAAGTTGCTATTGTTGTTTAGTTGCTGAGTTGTGCCCGACCTTTTTCAACCCCATGGAATGTAGCCCACCAGGCTCCTCTGTGCATAGAATTCTCCAGGCAAGAATACTGGAGTGGGTTGCCATTTCCTTCTCCAGGGGACCTTCTGGGCCCAGGGTTCCAATCCCCATCTCCTGCATCAGCAGGCTGATCGTTTTACTGCTGAGCCACCAGGGAAGGGCCAACAGTGAAAAGCAGCAGTAGTGAAACAAAGGTGAAATAATATCTTAATAATACATGTTGTGGAATTCCCCTGGTGGTCCAGTGGCTAGGACTCCGCACTCTCAGTGCAAGGGGCCCGGTTTCGACCCCTGATCAGGAAACTGGGTCCCACACGCTGCAACTCAGAGTTTGCATGCCACAACTAAAACACCCACTTGCCACAATGAAGACCAAAGATTCCGCCACAGCTGAGACCTGGAGCAGCCCAATACATAAACAGTTAAAGAGTGATAATAATATTATGGTGTATGTTATGTGATTATAATAACATAATATAAAGTTACACTACTCTGTTATACAGTTATGTACTTTATATATAATTATACAGTGAAATAACGTTATCATAGCATACCATGGCACTAATACAATATAAATGAAATTAATAATGATGTTAAATAACTAAAATGAATAATATTAAATCATATTTATTACTTATTACTTTTTAAACTTTTAAATTACTTTTTATTATTTGTTTATTACTACTAATAAAAAATAAATAAGTAAATTAGAAGCTAACAGAAATAGTTACCTGTAAGAGGAGGTAGAGAAAAGGGTGGTGAGAGCAGGAACAGAAGCTGGATTATTCTCTCCTAACGTACCTTGCTTTAGAGGGTTGAATTTGGAACTCAGGTAAATGATTTATGTGATTAAGAAAAGAAATATGCCAAAATAAAAATAAAAGCAATCCCTAAAAATTAACAGCAAAATGAAACCCATGAACCTAACAGTATGTCTCTGTGGATGAGATCATTTCAGGCAATTTTAAAGCACAGTGATATGACTGAATATTCTAACTGGGATCTACCCTAAAGATGAAAGTGAAAGTCGCCAGTCACATCTGACTCTTTGCAACCCCACGAACCTGCGGAATTCTCCAGGCCAGAATACTGGAGTGGGTAGCCTTTCCCTTCTCCAGAGGATCTTCCCAACCCAGGGATCGAACCCAGGTCTCCCGCATTGCAGGCAGATTCTTTACCAGCTGAGCCACAAGGGAAGCCCAAGAATACTGGAATGGGTAGCCTATCCCTTCTCCAGCAGATCTTCCCAACTCAAAAGATAGAACTGTAAAAGAAAGTCTTCAACAGTTTTCAGTTTTCAGTAATCATGTTATTGGAAACCTCATTAGTAATATTATTTGGAAATGATTACAGATACAGTAAATAAGTAATGATGTTTACATCATGAATAACCAGCATAAAAGAAAATAAGATTTTAACAAAATCAGAGAAGTAAAAGCTCAGAACTCCTAAATTTGAACTGGAAATACAACATGAACTCATTTTCTCTTAAGCAAATAAAGAACCAATTTTCTATTAATATGAACTAAAAATGCCTGTAGAAAATAATACTACAGCAGCAGTGAGCACCCTGAACACCAACTGTGGTCTCTACCATTTCCCACCAAAGAAACCAGGGCTCTTGGAGAAAGAGTTGATTCCAGTTTCAGGCAGGAAACAGGCCAGAGGAGCTAAGAGCATCAGGTGAGACCAGAAAGCAAAGAAGCATCTAGAGACCACTGGGGTCACGTCAAAGGACTCAGGAGCCAACCCGCTGGGGCACCTGCTAGCTAAAGATGAGATAAGTGAGCATTAAAAACAAAACAAAACAAAACTACTGAGCCCACAAGCCACAACGAAGATCCCGTGTGCTGCAATGAAGACCCAAGGCACCCAAATAAACAAACAAGTATTTAAAACAATTTTTAAAAAGGACACTCTCTTATACATTCACAGCAAAACTGAAATTTAACACAAGAGATTTAACACTGACAACAATGCTATTTTCTAACATACAGTACACGATGGACTTTCTTGATTACTGTAATATGGTCTTTTAGAACAGTTTTGTTTTTTTCTGGTCCTGGGTCCATTCTAGAACCATGTGTCACAGAAAGCACAGCAGCTGTGTGAGGGAAATGAAGGCAAAGATGGCAGCAGGCCACGGGGGAACGGGCCACTCAAGCCCTCACTTGTCTCTGTGCAGGCAGCACGGGATGTCACTGACTGTCCCACCTGTGTCTGTGCAGAAGCTCAGGGTCAGGTGGGGGAGGACAGGCTCCAGGGCAAGCAGGAGCAGTGGGGCTGTTGGCCAATTCCCATGTGTGACACAGGGACAAGGAAAGAATCTGCCTCACAGAATGCAGTGAAAATTCCACCCACCAATTTCAACAAAGCACTGAGAACTGGATTTGGCACAGAGCTCAATAAACATCACTCAGTTGTTCTTTTCCTCTTTTGCTTAAGAGGTGCTTCGGCCAGTTTCTTAGGGGGTAGGGGATTTTAGGGACTTAAACACCTTGCCTCTCTCCCTTGCAGATCTACCCTTCTTTATTTCCCAGAGCAGGGAGGCTGTTCAGCGGTTGCTAAGGATTTCTAAATCAAAGCTGGAGGAAAAGAATAAGGATTTTCTGTTTCAAGATAAGAGTTTCTCCATCCCGACAGTCTGTGTGCTGCAATGAAAGATCCTGAATGACAGAGTGAAGATCTTGGTGCTGCAGCTAAGACCCGATGCAGCCAAATAAATAATTTTTTTTTAAAAAAAGATACAAGAATTTCTCAGTGGGGAGCCTGCTCTGGTGGGGGAAAAGGGTCCTGACCAGCTCTGGGGCTGGGTGGTACTGGGGGGACTCTGCTTCTGGCTCTGCCACCACATGTTGCTTCCACCACCCTGGCCATGCTTCAGACCCAAGTGGGCCAATGATGAGAGGCCACTGGGTCACAGAAGAAGTTATAAAGGGGAATGTCACTGTGCCTACTTTAAGGATGACCAATCCGAAGCTCAGAGAGGCAGCAAGAAACCTGGCCAAGACCCTGTTCGGTCTCATTAACACTTTCCCTCCACCAAGGTCCTTTGTGGAGCTTCCACTAGCTTGTCCAGGCTGCCTCCTCATGGGAGCCTTCCCTCTCTCTAAGACAAAGCCTGTGTACCCTCAGCTCTTCCCAACTCAGGAACCTCTCTCTGCCCAGCCCTGAGATCCCTGGGCTAGGGAGGTCAGTGTCTGGCTCTGGAACCACCATTTACGAGTCCTTCGAAGTCCCCTAGGTCCAGCACAGCCTGTGTGTTGGGCTGGGGGCAGTGATGAAAGTACAAGGCTGGAGCTCATGAGATAGAGGTGCCTGGGAATGGTCATCTGGGAGTCACCTGGGAAACAGTCCAGGCCAGGAAAGGAGAGAAACAGCATTATCAGCCTTCACGCTGCATCCAAGGCAGGCTGGGCCCCGATATTCATTGCAGCACTATTTACAACAACGAGGACCTGGAAGCAACCTAGATGTCAATCGGCAGATGAATGGATAAGGAAGTTGTGGTACATACACACGATAGAATATTACTCAGCTCTAAAAAGGAAAGCATTTCAGTCAGTCCTAATGAAGTGGATGAATCTGGAGCCTATTATACAGAGTGAAGTGAGAAAAAGAAAGACAAACACTGTATATTAACGCATATATATGGAATTTAGAAAGACGGTAATGATGATCCTACAGGCAGGGCAGCAAAGGAGACACAGATGTAAAGAACAGACTGTTGGACTCTGGGAGAAGGAGAGGGTGGGATGATTTGCGAGAACAGCATTGAAACACGTATATTACCATATGTAAAACAGATGAAAAGTGCAAGTTTGATGCATGAAGCAGGGCACCCAAAGCCACTGTGCTGGGACAGCCCAGAGGGATGGGGTGGGGAGGCAGGGGGGTTCAGGATGGGGGACACTTGTGTACCTGTGGCTGATTCATGTCGATGTATGGCAAAAACCATCACAGTACTGTAAAGTAATTATCCTCCAATTAAAATAAATAAAATTTTTTTAAAAAGGCATGCTAGGGAGAAGGAGTTATCAAGGCTCCCAACTAACAGCACGCTTCCCTCTCTAAGCCACCGTTCTGCTTATCAAGAAAACGGTGCCCTGACAAACCAGGGGCCCTAAATGATTCATCCTCCTCCGCCTGCCACACTCACCTTGGTTCAGGTGGCATCACCTGCTTCCTCTCCACGAGGCAGCCAGAGGGTGAATGGAAAGCAAAGAGCATCTCACTTACTTAAAACCCTGCAGTGGCTTCCCAGCCTTCTCTGAACAAAATCCAGTCTCCTTACCAACATTTGCCTTACCTAGACCTTCTCACCTGTGCCTACCCGAGGGACATCCATCATAAAGCAGCCCCCGCTCTCCTACTCTCTCTTATTATTTTAACATAATCTCAACATGGAGTGAAATGTTCCTTGTATTTATTTGCTTTTACTGCCCTAGCCTCCTCCCCAATGAAATTTAATCTGCATGAGAGCTGGGGCTCGTTCTATTAAATACCCCCACTATCTAGGATGCGGCCAGGCATGCAGCAGGCACTCGGTACATATATAGGTGTGAGAGAATGAATAAATGAAAAGAAAACGACAGGCAGAAGAGTGGGCAATTTTGTCCACGGGCGGCTTCCGTAAGTCTATCATTTACCCAGAGCCAAGTCCTCGAGGGGCGCGCCCCCGTCACTACTCCGAGCCCGCGGCGTCCACTCCCGGCTCCTCGCGCGAGGGGGCTCGGCGGCCGCCGCTTCTCACCCGGTCTTCGGGGCCACGTGGGGAAAGGGTGGGGTTCGCGGCGGTCTCCGGCGGCACCGCCCCTGGTCCCTTTCGGCCGCCGTACGTGCGCAGGCGCTCTGGCGAGGACGCGCCTCGGCCTCCGTCAGCCCTGTGAACCGCTCCCGAGGTGACCAAGAGTGGCCGCGAGTACAGGTAAAGCTGAGAGAGCCAACAGGTTTGCGGCGACGGCGTCTTTGTCGCCTTTTTCGGGTCGCTTCCCGTCGCCGCCGGCCCAGGGAGAGAATTTTTTTGCCTCAAGAGTGTCCGCCCTGAAGGTTGGGCAGTGCGCCTGCGCGAGAGGCTTTGGCGGCGGCCGCCTGCGCCTGTGCCTTGAGGCTCGGCCGCGGCCTGCGCCTGCGCGGCGCGGCGCTGCGGCGACCGTTGGCTTATTTGCATGTCCCCGCCTCGCGCGGTGGCGGCGGCGGGTGAGGAGCCTGAGGCGGTGGCGGGGGCGGCTCCGCGCGCGGTGGGCTCGGGGTGAGGCCCGGGCCCAGGCGTTGTCGGCGGGTGGGCCCGGGGGTGGAGGGATTTGGGCTAGATCCCGGGAACCCCGGGTCTCCACGGTGGCGCAGCGGGCTCGGCCCTTGGACTGCGCGGCGGACGCATCGCGGCCGGGTCGGCCTGAGGGGCGATCTGCGGCCTTCGAGGCCCGACGCCCCCTTTTCTTCGACCTCAAAGGCCGGGAGGAGGCGGGCCGCGCCTGAATGGGTTCATTCGTTCGTTCATTCATTCAGCCTGAGCCGGGATCGGCCCCTCTGGTGGGGTGATAACGGCGGCGGGGTGCCGACTCCGCCTCTTTAGACATTTTTTTAACTGGTTCGGTCCCCACAGCAACCCTACCGTGAGCTGCCCGTTCCATAGATGGGGAAGCGGAGGCACGGAGAGGTTAGATCACTTGAATTGATTCTGGGCCAGCTGGCCGGGACACCCTGCCCTTCTATAGCGGAGAACAAGGGGGCCAGGGGAAAGGCCTGAAGGATAGGGAAAGTGGGTAATGGTTATAAGAAATGACTGTCAGGCAGGGGCAGGCTTGGGTTCTGAGGTTGGAGGTTTCTAGATGGAAGGGTTATCTTGCTGGGTAAGGACACGGCCACTGGATTTCTCAGTATTGCTTCTCAGCCTTTTTCTAATCAGTCTTCAGGGCTTTGTCCCCACAAGGAGTGTCCTGTTTGCCAGGTTCCAGCCCAGGCTGGTTGACCTTGGATGGGTCACTTAGCCCGAGCCTCCCTTTTGCACTTTTGTGTGATTTCATTCATAATAGGCCCCACTTGTTTATGGGGTTGTTGCAAGAAGTGTTGAGGGAGTCCCTCCCCTTCAACAGGAGCTGGCACATAGTAAGCTCTGTCAGTAGGTCTTGTCACTAGTCAGGGACTTCTCCCCCTCACTTGCTGAGATGCCTCTGTGAGAGGGGAAGTTAGCTCTCAGAGCCTCTGCGCCATGTCTGTGAAATAGGAAAATAGAAACAGTGAAAATCATGTCTTTCCTAAACATCATTTGAAAAGGTTTATGCTCCTGTTATGTGTGCTGCTTTATACAGTCTTTTAGCAGCCCCAGGAGACAGAGCTGCTTTTATAGTGCTTCTTTTAAGGGATTCTGAGAAAATGGCCTCAGAGAAGCAAAATAGATTGTCCAAGATTGACATCCTTGTCTTACTCCTTCTTAACCAACCCACACCTGTGAGGTTCTTGTGGGCAGAGGTCCCCTTAAAATAAACCAGCCTTCCTCTGAAGTGCCATACCAGATTATGGATTACTGCTTGGTTACTCTGAGGATTAAGTGGAATAGATCAGGCTTTGTGAGCATTGGTTGTCACTGTTAGTGTCTTTTTACCCCTCTTCTCATTCCAGGTCAGAGAAACATGGCAGCAAGGAGGATTGCACAGGAGACTTTTGATGCTGTGTTGCAGGAAAAAGCTAACCGATATATGGACCCCAGTGGTGAGGCTGTAGGTGAAACTCTTCAGTTTAAAGCTCAAGGTAAATTGAAGTGTGTGGTTTTGGGGGGAGTGAGGCGGGTGGATGGAGCGTGTATTTAGAATTGGGGCCCAACCTGCAGTTCCTCAGATTTTACCTTCTTAAGTGGAGATAAAATTTTCTCTTGGTCCACCTGTTAAATCATTATGTAGAAGGAGGTATTGTCATTATCCAGAGCTTCTCCCCAGGCACCCTGCCCCACCTAAAGAAGAGTTCTTAAATAAGTTGCCTGACTCCGTGCCCACTATCACTAGGCCGCTTTGAGCTCTTATCAGGTCTTACCTGGATTTTTGCAGTAATCTCCTCCTGAAATGTCTTTCACTTTCTGGCTTCATTCCCTCAAATCTTCTCACCCCACAGATCTATTAATGCTAACTTTGCAGGACCAAGGCCAAACTTATGCTCTTGGGGCTCCCTGTTTTGGTTTTACATCCTCAGACAAGTGCAGGAGCAGCCAAGTAACTAGTATGCAAGGTAGGAGGGCCTTGGAGCCTTGTGGAGCTGCTGAATGTAGGCCCTGCCTGAAAACATTCCTTTTGCAAAGTTTTGAAACATCATGTCAGCAGAATAAAAAATGGTCCTAGTGCAAATTGCAGGACAACTTGGAGGTCCTGCCCCACAGTGCATGAGGCTCCTAGCTCCTATCCTCTGCCTTAGGCCTGTTGTTTCACTGACACTGTGTGCTTGTCTGTGTTGTGGATCTCTCATCTCAGCTCTGTGTGATTAATTCCCTCAGTCAGTAAGACCTGGTCCATAGGTGTCTTCCCCCAGGAGGCCCTAGTAGGCCTGGAGATTGATTTTACACTGTGTACTTGATCCCCTGCCATGGGCTGGCCTCCTCCAGGCCTCCTTTGGGCCTGTACTGTTTGCTGCTGCGCCAGCCCTTGAGCCAGCCTTGGTGTAGAGAAGCCTTCCTCGGTGTTGGCTGGATGAGTCTAAATGCTTGGGGTGGGGATAACTTATTATGTGCTTTGGACCCAGAGAAACTGAGGCTTAGAAGCTGTGTCCAAAGTCTTGAGTTTTCAAAAATTGTATAAGCAGCAGACAAAACCATTCCTGTTACAAAATATTGGAAGGATTAAGTAGTTAAGAACAGAATGTCGGGACTTCCCTGGCCATCCAGTGGTTAAGACTCCACACTCCTAAGGCAGGGTTTGTTCCCTGGTTGGGGAACTGAGATCCCACATGCCGCACTGCGGGGCCAAGAAAAAGAACAAAATGTAAAAAACCTCTTTGCTGCTTCCTTATTCCTTGGAAGTAACGGTATCTGTGGTGTTTTGTGCATCCTTTAATTCCTTTAGCCATATATGAATCCTGAATACTTCATGTTTTCATATATATATATATACACATGTATGTTTGTGTGCATATGTACATATATACGTATATGTAAAACACGTGTATGTGTATATATATATATTGGAGATTTGAATTGGTTTCTCTTATCTAGAGACTCAAACACTAATACATATCTTAAGTTACCTCAGGGCAAGTTGGGGGAGGGGGAGACTATGAACCCAGTAGGATGCCAGATGGTTCTGGAACCATCTCTGTGTCATAGAGCTACGTGGTCCATCGGTCAGCCTCTCTCTCTGCTGCATTTTTCTGAGGCCTTGTAAACCAGGTCCTGTTGGGCAGAATCCAGCCACTGTAATGCTCCCACCGTAACCAGGCCGTCAGAAACCGTCAGTATCTGGATTATCTTGGTGGACTCTTGCTGGAACTTCCACTCCTGTCCCTTGCAGTCTGTCCCCACACAGCCGCCAGTGAGGCCCTCCTTTTGCTCCAGAGTCCCCTTGGCTTTCTGTCTCGTTCACAGTGAACTCTGGAGTCCTGTCATGGGCCTGGCTTGATCTGGTTTGCACCCACTTCTGTTTGCATCTCATGTCATGGTAGTTCACTAATTTTGCTTCATGTTAGAATCCTTCGGGGGCTTTTTAAAAGTCCTGATGCCTAGGTCACACCCCGTCCTAGTTAATTAAGTCAGGATGCCCCAGGGCTTCAGTGTGCAGCCGAGTCTAGGTGCTGCCTTCTTACCACTTTGTCCCTCCTTCCCTCTTGCACTCTCACCACCTTTGTCCTGTGCTCATCTCAGAGCTTAGTCCTCACGCTCCCTCTACCTGGTAGGCTTCCCCATAGCTGCTCATTCTGACCCCTCACCCAGGCCTCTGCTCCTCAGATGCATTGTTGTTAGAGCTGCTCACCCTGACCAGCCTGTTTAAAAATGGCTTTCCCTTTTCACATTCCCGCCGGTTTGGCATTTCCTTACACCTGAAAAATTTTTGTTTATCACTTGGCTTCCTCAACTGAAAAGTCCAGGAAAGTAGGGACTTTGCTGTGCCTTTTCCCTGCTATAACTTCAGGGCCTAGAGCAGTGCCTATATACAGTGGGTGCTTAGTAAGTACCTGTTGGACAGATAAACTTGGATTTATACAAAGCCCTTGATTCCTGTGGTTTGTTGACCCATCACTACTTCCTGGCATCTTTCTCTCTCTTTTACATTTGACTTTTTGACTAGGTAATAGATTCTGAATCAGAAAGTAAGAAAGGTGCTCTGTGCAAATGTCTCCCTGAGGCCCTCTGTTCCCATGTGCCCACAGTTGTCTTCTGTTTTTGACTTCTTACAGTTTCTTTTTTCTTTTTGGCTGCACCATGCTGCATATGGGATTTTAGTTTCCTGACCAGGGACTGAACCCAGGTTCTTGGCAGTGAAAGCGTGAAGTCCTAACCACTGGACTGCCAGGGAATTCCCCTTACAGTTTCTGTATGCATAAATAAACAAATGCAAACGTAGTTTCCTATTTTTCTCATTTCTGCGCAGAGGAGGACAAAAGCACATACTGTTCAGTTTCCATTGTGGTTTCTGCTGTTGTGGCCTGTTAACTTCTGCCTTCCCTCTTACTTGCTCAGCCTCTTTTTTCAGGTATTGGTTGGCTTAATGACCCTTTCTGAGGGAGCCTGTCAGCCACCTTTGGATCAAGTGCGCAGCTAAGGTCCAGCCAGCAGAGGTGGCCACAGTGTCAGATGTAGCTCCTGCCTCAGTGGCACTGTTGGCCAGGAGCTCCTTATAGGAAGCCGGGGAGGCAGGCAGCCTCTAGAATGCCCGTCTGCTGTGTGATAGAAGTAGAAATACACAAGTGTTCCGGTCACAGTAAAGAAGACCAGGTTATTTGGGAACCAAATGCCCATCCCTGAGTCTAAAAGAAGGCTTGTAAAATAGAAAGTGAAGTGAAAGTGAAAGTTGCTAGCTGTGTCCAACTCTGCAACCCCATGGAATTCTCCAGGCCAGAATACTGAAGTGGGTAGCCGTTCCTTCTCCAGGGGCTCTTTCCACCCCAGGGATCAAACCCAGGTCTCCTGCATTGCAGGCAGATTCTTAACCAGCTGAGCCACCAGGGAAGCCTTGTAAAACAGAGGTAGGGCAACCGATCTGAGTGAGTGAGCAGCACTGCTGCCTAGCCTCCATGGACTATCGTCAGGCCAGATGCAGGCCCAGTACTCATAACTCTTCTGTTTGCATAAGTAGAAACCTAGGTTTTTAAGTGAAACTACACATATTCTCCGTGTGAGTTTCTTTTTTTTTTTTTAATTTATTTTCATTTATTTTTATTAGTTGGAGGCTAATTACTTTACATCATTACAGTAGTTTTTGTCATACATTGAAATGAATTAGCCATGGATTTACATGTATTCCCCATCCCAGTCCCCCCTCCCACCTCCCTCTCCACCCTATCCCTCTGGGTCTTCCCAGTGCACCAGGCCCGAGCACTTGTCTCATGCACCCAACCTGGGCTGGTGATCTGTTTCACCCTAGATAATATACATGTTTCAATGCTGTCATGTTAGTTTCTAAAATGCACTCTGACTGGGAAAGCACCCTGCTGGTGGTCTGCAGATCACCCACTTGCAGCCTCTGGTCTGACACATACCTTTGTGTTTCTTTTTGGATTGCTTATTTCAGATCTTCTAAGGACAGTCCCAAGAGCCAGAGCAGATATGTTTGATGACATTCACAGTGACAGCAGGTACACTCTGAGCACATCTGTAACTCATCCTCGAGACACTGGGAGAGAAGGCCTGAGAGGTGATATATTTCCAGGACCTTCCTTCAGGTCAAGCAACCCTTCTGTAAGTGAAGACAGCTACTTTCGCAAAGAATGTGGTCGGGATCTGGAATTTTCCCACCCTAACTCCCGAGACCAGGTCTTTGGCCACCGGAAACTGGGACATTTCCGTTCTCAGGACTGGAAATTTGCACTCCGTGGCTCTTGGGAACAAGAGTTTGCCCACTCAGTTTCTCAAGAATCCTCTTGGTCACAGGAGTATAGTTTTGGCCCTTCTGCATTACTGGGGGACTTTGGCTCCTCCAGGCTGATTGAGAAAGAGTGCTTGGAGAAGGAGAGTCGTGATTATGACGTGGACCGTCCAGGGGAGGCGGACTCTGTGCTCAGGGGCAGCAGCCAAGTCCAGGGCAGAGGCCGAGGTCTAAACCTTGCTGACCAGGAGGGTGCTCTCTTGGGAAAGGGGGAGACTCAAGGCCTGCTCACTTCTAAAGCTGGGGTTGGGAAACTTGTCATGCTGAGAAACGTGAGCACGAAAAAGGTACCCACTACGAGTCGTGTCACTCCCAAAACTCAGGGCACTAACCAAATCCAGAAAACCACCTCAAGTCCCGACGTGACCCTGACGACGAACCCAGGGACAGAAGAGGTCCAGTTCCCCACCCGGAAAGTCCCTCTGGGGCTTGATCTAAAGGATATCCGGCTCCCCAGGAGAAAGATGAGCTTCGACATCATAGATAAGTCAGATGTCTTCTCGAGATTTGGGATAGAAATAATCAAGTGGGCAGGCTTCCACACCATAAAAGATGATGTTAAGTTTTCCCAACTTTTCCAGACTCTCTTTGAACTTGAAACAGAAACCTGTGCTAAAATGCTCGCCTCATTCAAATGCTCCTTAAAACCAGAGCACAGAGATTTTTGCTTTTTTACTATCAAATTTTTAAAGCACTCTGCTTTGAAAACACCCAGAGTTGATAACGAGTTTTTAAACATGCTTTTAGACAAAGGTGCTGTGAAGACCAAAAATTGCTTTTTCGAAATCATAAAGCCCTTTGATAAATACATAATGAGACTACAAGACCGGCTGCTGAAGAGTGTCACACCCCTGCTCATGGCCTGCAATGCCTACGAGCTGAGTGTCAAGATGAAGACCCTCACTAACCCCTTGGACTTGGCTATTGCCCTGGAGACCACCAATTCTCTCTGCCGGAAGTCTTTAGCTCTTCTGGGACAGACATTCTCCTTGGCCTCTTCCTTCCGGCAAGAGAAAATCCTGGAAGCTGTCGGCCTCCAAGATATAGCTCCATCTCCTGCTGCGTTTCCAAACTTCGAGGACTCTACTCTGTTTGGGAGAGAGTACATCGATCACCTGAAGGCCTGGCTGGTCAGCAGTGGGTGTCCACTCCAGGTCAAGAAAGCTGAATCTGAGCCAGCCCGAGATGAGGAGAGAGCTGTGCCTCCTGCAAAACCTGAAATTCAGGCCAAGGCTGTGAGTGGTCTGAGTGATGGTAAGGAAAGCAGCAGCAGTTTCTGTTTGTTGTGATTTGTTTGCGTTTTTGTAATGTCTCTTATTCTCTTTGATATTTGTACATAGAAGTTCTTTAGCCAGTTGGAAACAAATCAAAACTTTAGGAGAAAACTCACAGTGACTGCCACTCATTCGTACATGCCTGCCACTCATTCTGTAAGCGTGTGGATGGATGGATGTACACAGTATTGCTTTACTATCTGGGTTGTTTGTATCATCTTACAGCCTAGGTTAAGAAGCCATGTTCCAAAAGTACCCCTTCTCTGCATGCCCCCCCCCCCCGCCCCGAGTTATTACTCAAAAGGAAAGTAAATACAGGCCACAGTCTCCAAGGATCCCCCAGGCTTCTGAGGGGAAGAAATCACAAACCCAGCCCTGCCTGTGCTGGGATTGAGGGGCTATAGGAGAGGCCCAGCCCAGCATGGGGAGTCAGGAAGGCTGTTTCTGAACTGTTCTCAGGGCTAGGTGGTGGAGGCACCTTTCCACCTGCTCACTTTTCTAGACTGGCTAGAGGTGGAGAGATCACTTCAGTATACCTGGTAGCCTGCTGTTAATGAGTTGGCTTCCTGGGGAGCGGAAAGACAAAGAAGGTAATAGAAATAGAAGTGACTGGCTGTGTGGTGTCCCTTCCCCTCCCCCTGCGCTCCCAGGATGGATGTTTTCACAGCCCAGAAAGCCCAGAAGTCATGAGCACACATAGTGGCCATTGAGGAAGTCCCTTTTTCCTCTGATACAGTTTCTGGGTTCCATTGCCCCAGTCAAGTTGGTAAGTTGCATTTGTCCCTGAATTTCAGTCTTCACCCTCGTGGAGCCCTGACTGCTACAGGTGCTGCGTAGGTCCCTCCATGGATGGGCGGCCGCACCTACTGCCAGAGAGGGAACCTTTCAGAAGTGAGCTCAGGGCTGAAGTGGGACCTCTCTTCCCCACATCCCCCAGAATAGTGGGGTGGAAAGTCTGTGTATCAGTGATACTGAGAGGAGCAAGAAAGCCCCCCACAGCCTAAAGTTGCCCACCACCGCCCCCTGGTCGCGCTGCTGCGCAGGCGTGCCTGTAGCTGCCATCTTGCTGTGCTGAAAACACTGCAGTGTGCTCCTCTGCAGGATTCTCAAAGGCTCTTTGCTGTGTTTCTGCAGCATTTGCTGCATCTTCCTTGACGTTGGAGTCATAATGCCTTTTATTAAAGGCTTCTGAGCCTGAGCAGAGCTGAGTCCTTGTGAAGTTGGCATCTGCCAAGCAGTGGCGCCTTGTCTGGTCGTCAGGGAGATGGCACCAGTGTCCACGTCTTGTGGGGCATAGGCTGGCACTACTTCCATTACTGTTAGAGATGCTGGGAGGATATCTTTGGTTGAATTTCTTGATTCTTACTATTATTTTCATTAAAAAAAAAATTGAATCCTCCTTTAAAGGAGATATCCACAGAAAGATTGCTGGGCCAAAGGTAAGATCCACTTTCTGGCCCTTAACTGTGGTCATTTTCTCTAGAGTTGGTTGCAGTGATGTGCACATTTTATTGTCTTTGAAAGCCTCTGACTTTGAAGCTCTTACTGTTTTGTAAAATCATGTAAAACTAGCAGTTATATAAAGTGAGAGCCAACAACAAAAAAGAAAGTAATTTCAGAGGGGAAATGAAATGACAACTGAAGGATTGATGCATCCTGTGTTAAGAACTCACACTGATGTTGAGAGTATTGATACCATTCCACACCAAACTGGAAAACCTCTCCAGTTCAGGGCTGATGTTTTATTGAATGAATGAACAAATAGACCATCTGTGCTATTAAAACTAGCAAATATCAAAGGAAATTCACACTTTAAAAAATGTTTTTTTTTTCAAACATTCAACAGATGCTTTCTATGAACACCTATCTTGGAACTGTTGACTTTTTTTAATATTAACTTTTTTAATTGGACAATTTTTCTTTGTGAGCTTATGTATGTTTTCTGATTACACATCACATGTGTTTATTTTTTTATAGATTAAGCACACAAAAAAGTGAAATCCCTGCTAAATCTGCCACCCATAGATATAACCTCTGTTAACTTTCTGGTATATTTCTGTCTGAACTTTTTTTCTGTGTGTCTATTTATTTGTATTTCTTCTTCCTTTTTTCATATTGCAAATTACAGTTTAGATACACTTTTTACATTATTTTATACCTAGCTACATTTTATGTCTTTGTTTTCCCCTTAATATTGTTAACAAGTTAAGCTGTATGCAAAAAGTGATAAGGAGTTGCTACATACCATTTTTTCCTATAGAATATTGCTCTGTACAGTCACTTAAGTTTGCGACTGTTTCTCTCCTAGTGATTGTGCTACTATAGCTTTTGAGAGGATATTTTATATATTGGTTTCTAGAATAACAGGCTCTTTCCCTCTTTTCAATGCTGGTCTCTTGTGAAGAAGGATTTCAGTTGCTGGTGCCTGCTTAGGCTCCACCCTTAGGCTCTATCCTGATCTTCCTAGGCCCCATGTGGTCCAATATGTTTCTCAGAGAAGACCTTCTGTGTGTTCCAGAGGTCCCCCAGCGAGCAGATCACAAGGTGGCGGACATCATCGACCAGCTGGTTGCACGCGTCACTGGAGGCAGCCTGTCTCCCAAAGAGAGAGCTCTTCTCAAGGAGGACCCTGCTTACTGGTAGGTCTCTAAATGGTGCTCTTCTGAATCCACCTGTAAAGTGCAGGGCAGTGTTTCTGTTGCTTTGATGGTGTTCAGAGAAGAAAGTGAAGTGTTTATTTTGAGCTGTGGTGTCAGTCAGTAGGAAGAGTATGAGGGTGGGTCTGGTTCATATGGGTTCAGATTCCTTGTTTGTGCTGATTTGAGGATAAGGTGAGAGACGCGGGCAAAGAGAGTGTAAGATGAGGAATACGTCACAGCAATTGTTTGTGATTTATTTCTGCTCTCTGTTCAACTGTCTTCCTTTTGTCTTATTGCCTCTTCGCTTGAATAGAACAGTTTTTTAAAATTAAAGTTTCTGCCATAAATATTAATACAGTATTTGCTTATTAGAAAAGGAAAAGAAGAGTAGAAAGTTGGGCGAAGCCACCTGTGCTCTCACTGGCGCCCCCTGGCATTTGGGGATGTTTGTTAGCATCTTTCTGCTCCTTGCAGGCGCTGTGGTCTTTCACACGGTTGTGGTTATGCTGTGATATGCCCTACTCCTTTTACACAGGAAAGCGCTCGTGTTTCCTGCTTTTTGTAAACATTTCAGATGGCTGTGTTTACTGGTCTGCAGGATAGGTGATCAGTTTATTTAGCCATTCCTCTTTTTAGAATTTTTTGTTTTTTAAAGAACATGCCCTTCCCTTGTTCATTTAAATTTTTTAAGAAGTTATTTGTTTACTGGATTGAGTCAAGTCTTAGTTGCCTCCTGTGGCATCTCTCTCTGAGGCGCGTGGACTCCAGTTGTGGCGCATAGACTCAGTAGTTGTGGTGTGTGGGCTCAGTTCTCTGTGGCATGTGGGGTCTTAGTTCTCCAACAGGGATTGACCCTGTGTCCCCTGTGTTGCACGGTAGAGTCTTTTGTAAAAAATTTATTTATTTTTGGCTACGCTGGGTGTCTACTGCTGCGCGCAGGCTTTCTCTAGTGGTGGTGAGCGGGGGCGGCCCTTTGTTGCAGGGCGTGGGTTTCCCGTTGGTGTGACGTCTGTCGCGGAGCATGGGCTCTCGGTGCGTGGGCTTCAGCAGTTGCCGTGTGTGGGCTCAGGAGGCGTGGCCGCAGGCCGCATTGTCCCTTGGCATGTGGGCTCTTCCCCAGCCGGGGGTCACACCCGTGTCTGCTGCGTTCACAGGTGGATTTGGACCAGCCGGGAGATCCCCGAATTTTCTGTTCTTGCTGTTGTAATTACTAAAGATGCTTGAAAGGCAAAAATCTCTGTGTAATGGTGCCAGAGCTTTGGTGCTTACCAGTATGATTTCCAGGAGGAGAGTTAGAAATTGTTTTGGTTTTAATTTTACAGAATTCTTTTTTTTTTTTTTTTGATTTTACAGAATTCTTGAATTCACCTAGGCTATGTTCACATGTTGAGTAAGACAGGCATGTAACTTAAAAGGTAAAAAAAAAAAAAACAACCCCAATAACCTAATTGCCCTAGTATCATTTATTGAATACTTTTTATTTAGCAAATCTTTTTTTTGTGTGCACTTGGTACCATTCTAAGCACTTTACTGATTTAAGCACTAGCTGGCCGAACCCTCATAAACAACCTCTTGAAGTAGATATGTTGTCATCTTTACAGACAGGAAACTTGAGGCTTAAAGAGGTCTCTTGCCTGGAGGATGCACAGCTAGTGGCAGACAGAGCTGAGATTCACACTCAGGCTCTGTGGTCTCAGCCAGTGCTTATGCTGAAGGAAGGGGTCTAGATAGCCTCAGACTGACAGATGAAAACAGGGACCGGTTCCTCTGGGTAAGATGCCATGTAGACTTGAAAGACCCAGGGACAGTTTCCAGGGGATTGTCAAGGTCATTGGGCTGGAGGGAAAGGGGACCCTGAGAAGACTGGGAGCGTGTGTCCCTGCCCCGTGACCGCTGCACACTCCCCACAGGCTCACGGTCACTGACAGACTCAGAGCCAGGCTTGGGCGTATGTGTGGTGGCGGTGGGAGGGCCTGCAAATCAAACGTAAGCATGTATTTGAGGAAAATCAGCATCATGAAAGAGGATCATCAAACTCAACAGATCTGACACCTAAGACAGAGTTACTCTAAGATAAAGAAGATTGTCTAAAAACACATATGTGATTAATAGTCTTAGATGGATAATAGCATAGTATATCCATGAAATAGGAACTGCTTATTATGGAAAATAGCCAATTAAGGGTTTTAGAATTGAAGAATGTGATTGTTGAAATAATCTCAGTGGTTGACTGATAGAATTGACCTGAATGAAGAACAGATTAGGGAGCTGACTCAGAGACTTGATCACCTGTGAACTCCTTCAGAATTACCCAGAGCCTATAAGAGTGTGCAAACAAAGTGTTAAAAAAAAACAAACAGTAAACATGTTTTTGGTGTATATGTTTAAATTCTTAAGTCAAAGTAGTACTTGTATGTGATTTACCAAAAAAATCGATGTTATCACAAAAGGCAAAATGTTTCTGCCATGATCCATTCTCATGCCAGTTCCACTCTTTTTTTTTTTTTTGGCCATGCCAATGCAGCCTGTGGGATCTTTATTCCCCAACCAGGGATCAAACCCATGCCCCTCCTACAGTAGAAGAGTGGAGTCTTAACCATTGGTCTGCCAGAGAAGTCCCTGAGTTTGCTCCTTAGAGACAGTCACTTTTAGTTCTTTAAGCTTCTTTTAACAGTTAACTGTTATATCCCTAGAGATGACACACCTATGCTGCTCTTTTTTTTTTTTTTTTTTTAAATGCCTGAGCTGTGTGTCTTGAGAGATATTAGTTCCCTAACCAGGGATTGAACCCAGGTCCTGGCACTGAAAGCACCAAGTCCAAACCACTGGCCCACCAGGGAATTTCCCAAAGCATTTTCTTCGTAACAAAAAGTATATAATTCAAGCCTCACAGCAACATGGTGAAGTAACTTATTGTTATCACCCATCCGATCTTTTAGGTGGAGAAACTGAGGAACAGAAAGATTCAGTAAATCTCCCAGCTAGTAAGTGACTGTGCTGGAGTTTGAACCTGGCAGGCTAGCTTGGGAGTACTCTGTGCTTTTGATGTTATGCTCCACTAGAGCTGGGGGAGATGGGCTTGTGACTGATGGGTTGAACCTGCACTTGGCATTAGAATCGACCACAGAAAGGGCCTCCCGTGGTGGGGATCTGGATCACCTGGCGTTTACTCCACTTTCTGCTGTGGATAGGGGGCTGCATTTGACTTGAGAACTGGAACATCCGTGTTGGTCCATCTTCCCTTATGTGGGAACCTCAGCTTGTTAGGGTGCAGCCTTTCAGGATGCTGCTGCTGGCCCAGCAGTGTCTAGGGCAGCAGAGGAGCCAGCACAGCCTGTTCCCCCAGGTCCAGCCGGGCCTGGACTGTGCAGTGAGCATCAGCAGGAGCTCCACACAGAGCCGCCCACGAGGGACACGCCACATCCCACAGAACTGCCAGCATCCTGCTGTGCACTGCCACCTCACGGCCGGTCCACTTCTGCCACTGGCAGTGGGGAACCTCATCTAGTATATGTGCTGCCGGAGCGAGCACGGGGAACCTCATCTAATATATGATCTCAGTAGCAGACAGTCCAAGAGCCTCTTGAAATACTGCCATACTCACCAGACGCTACTTGTTCTTTAACACAAACTGAAGTTGAACATTCATAAAAACTTTGGTATGAATGAGGTCATGGAGAAAATTACAGACCATCCCAGGAAAGGAAAATCATGTTGGCCACATTGTGCAATGCATAAAACTTGAAGCCAGCAACAGCATAAATAAAACTAGCTTCTAATAACTTTTGTATGAAAGAGGGTTAGAATTAAAATTAGAAACTCTTCAGAAGGAAGTAGCAGGTTGGGGGAAAGGTACAATCTTGCATGTGTTTATCAGAAATAAAGAGTGAAGATAACCATTCAATTCATGAGGCAAGGAAAAAATGGTGAAAAAAGCCCAGAGACTAGGAAGGAAGGGTTAATAAAGATGAAAGAAAGTGCTAATGAAATGGTCTGCAAAGTAAATAATGTGAAAGACCCCTCCATTGCCCTTTCTCACTCACTCCTTAGAGCAAATTCTTATATTTACTTCTTATTCTTTCAACCTGTGTGAAAAAAACCAAATATACATGGATGTTATGTACACAAAGGCAGTTTCACAGGGTATGTTTTAATGTTGGATTTTGCTTGTTCTTCATGGGCTGTATCATGGATCTCTTTCTGTGTTAGTACATGTAATGTCAGCACATGTAACTCAGACTCCTCTTTTCTGTACTCTTCTCCTTATGATTCTGGCACATGATTTCACATCAGTGGCATGCTGTCCTTGATGATGAAATTAAAAGGTCGCTGAGTGCCCACCACTGGAAGGGTATCACCTCCTGAAAGCATGTCCGGGAGCAGACCCTGCCGTTCCCTGGCAGCAGAGGGCTTCCGTGTGGGGCCGCCAGGAGCTGTGAGCCCCTTCATGCTGCTGGAACCCAGGGGGAACCAACCAGTGCTCCATCAAAGCTCCTGGTCACCCTCTGGTCACTCTGAGCAGGGCACAGGCCCAGGGCCCAGCGCTGGTCCTTGGTAGAACTGGGCAGAGCCTCTCCATCAGCAAGGGGGCCACCAAGTGGAAAGGGTTTGCAGAAGTGTATTCACAGCAGCAATTTGGCTGTGCTGGTATGTTCACAAATGTCCTGCTGTTCCTGTTTTGTTACATAGGTTTTTGTCTGATGACAGTAGTCTGGAGTATAAATACTACAAGTTGAAACTGGCAGAGATGCAGCGGATGAGCCAGACCTTGCCAGGCACAGATGAGAAGCCGACGGCAGCAGAGTGTGCGGTCCGGGCGATGCTGTACGCCCGGGCAGTCCGCAGCCTCAAGAGGAGGCTCGTCCCAGCGCGGCGGCGGGGGCATCCTCGCGCTCATGGGCTCCGGGGCTGCAAAGTGAGGAGAGCCACCACTGGGACCCAGACCCTGCTCTCCTCAGGCACCAGGCTGAAGCACCATGGCCGGCAGGCCCCGGGCTCCCTGCCGGGCAAGCTGCCCCAGCCGGACAGAAATGATGCTGCCAAGGACTGCCCCCCAGAGCTGGCTGGACCCTCACCTCGGGACCCCAGCCCAGAAGCCTCCGGCCCATCCCCCAAACCAGCAGGCATGGATGTCTCTGAAGTCCCTCAGACCTCTTCTCCCTGCCTGTCTGCTGATGGTGAGTGCTCACCCCTGTCCCTGCCCTTTGGGCCCCAGCCCCAACTCTGATCCATCTCCAGGGGTCTCTGCAGAGTCAGGCAGCTTCAGTGGGCTGGGCTGGGCAGGGCAGCAGGCGGCAGTAAAAGGGATCTGGCCAGGATGGTGCACACCGAGGCGCTCTCCTCTCGCCTCATCACAGGGCTGGCCCTGGAGTCCTGCTGCCCCCTTGCTCTTATCCTGAGTGCGGAGCCCGCAGGAGTGCTGCCGCTGAGTCTGCATCTCCCTGCACGGTTCCCCTGCTGGCCAGCAGGGTGTGCCATGTGCCCGTGCTTAGGACGTTGAGCTCCTTGATCCCAGTCTCTATTCTTGCCCCTTGTACTTCTCATCGGGTGGCCCTGGTTTGCGTTCTGTTTCCTCTTCCCTGCTAAGCTCTCTCGTTTCCTTCCTTTGAGTTAGGTGACTTGCAGCTTCTTCTGTTTCTCCCAAGCATTGCCTTCTCCTTCCACAACAGGGCTGCCCTGTGGCCAGTACTTCCCCTCAGCACTAGATGGGAATGTAGAGGGAAAAATCTACTCAACTGATAACATTTTTCTAGTTATTGCTGTGTAACAAGCCAGTCCAAACTGTGACTTCAAACAGAAGGCATCAAATGTTGTTTCAAGTCACTAGGCTGGGCCTGCTAGCTGCAGGCAGTGGCCAGTAGTCAGGGACTGTTAGCTGAGGAGATGGAGCTTGTGGGCTACATGCTGTCACCCCCCAGCAGTAAGCCTAATGGTTTGCTCTGGTATCCAAGAGATGCAGAAGAGGTGCTTGAGGCGTCTCAGGCCCAGGCCCCACATTTCTGTCACATCCTCAGTCAGAGCGAGTCCCAGGGCCAGTCCCAGTTCAAAGGGAGGAAGGAGAGTCCGCCTCTGCTGCGCAGAGTGGCGGGAGCACATGGCAAAGGGCCAGACCACAATCACGGGCCGTCTTTGTAATCAGTCTCCACAGCCCCATGATGTTCACGTGGAGATTGGCAGCTCAGAACCAGTACATGACAGTTGCTTTATTTTGTAGTTGATACGAAGACAATGGAGACTGCAGAGAAACTGGCCAAATTTGTTGCTCAGGTGGGACCAGAGATTGAACAGTTCAGCATAGAAAACAGCATTGACAACCCTGACCTTTGGTATGTACCCATCACACCCCTTTGATCTATGTTCACCTCATGAGTATCCTGAGAGCCCACAGAGGGTCGCCCCCAGGATAGATCATGGCTTCTCTTCCACTGAGCTCAGGGCTTTTCGGGAGAAGCATCTTCTGGGGTTGTTGGAGACCTGCCCTCATCTGGGGCGTCAGGAAAAGCCGCCCCCAGAGGGAAGTTTAAGCTGGATCCAAAGGCTCAGTGGGTGTTGGTCAGGGGAAGGGGGAGAGAATGCCCTGGCAGCAGGATGTGTAGGTTCCCCAGAACCTTTGCAGAGACAAAGAGGAGAGTGTGTCCTCACCCGTGAGTCTGAGGAGGAGGGCACTGTCCCTGCTCATGCTGGCAGCTCTGGGCAGGATGAAAATGTGCTGCTCGTGAAGCATGATAATGGGTTTTGGTCCAGGTGTGAGCAACAAGCACTTCGTTGTAGTAGTGGCTTGGCACCCTTGTCTGCCTTCAGTGGGGTCAGCATTCAGCATTCTACAGCCCGAAGGCCATAGAACCCACCCTGCCTGTGCTGTGAATTCTCCTTAGGGGGGAAGCCGCCTGAGGGCCATGTGTTCTCAGTACTGAGCCTTAACTTGGCTGAGCTCCCCTTGCATTGGGAGGGATTCCCATGCTATATGGATTGCATCCTACTGCCAGCTAGGGGTTCTGGACCCTTGCCCTGTTCCCAACGTGCTAGAGAGTTGTGCCTTCGTTTACTTAAGGATATGGTTAAAAATTTCACATTTCCTGGAACATTTCTGGGAGTCAGCGTGTCTGAGCTCTTCTAGCAAATTTGGATGTTGAGTAGGTCCTGCATTGGGTACCTCTTACTTCCTGTGAGGCCCAGACCAGCCACATGGAGCACTGGTGGCCTTGCAGGTACTCAGCCTAGTACTGCCTTTTACAGGCCTTGGGGCTGCTGGGCCTCACGGGTCTTAGAGCTGGGCTGCCACCACATGCAGGACCTCACACTGGCAGGCCCAGGCATAGGGGACAACTCGGTGAAGGGCAGGCTGGAGCATTTCAGCGGTTTTCTTTTTTCTCCCAATGCAGAAAGAGAACTCTGCATTGTCCTGCTTACTTGGTACTGGCAGGGCTTGGTGTTATTCCTCAGCCTCTGTGGCAGCCTTTTCTGAGCAGTGTTCCTCAGAAGATGCTGTCCCCTTTGTCCCCTGCAGAGAGAGCCAGAAAACTCCAGCAGCCTCAGGTGGGGTGATGCATTTTCACCCCTGTTGCTCATAGCATAGTTGGAAAATGACTGCACCCAACACCCACCTATTTAGTGAAAGGCAAGACGACTTTGTGTTTCTTTCCCTTAGAAGAATCACACCTGTAATGTGTGTAGTCGTTGCTTCAGTTAATTTCATTTTGTGTTTGTGGTTATGTCATCAGTTTGACACAGTCAAGTTCATTTGTTTCTGCTGAGAATCTATTTGAAGGCTTTTTTTCTTATCCTTTTTAATTTTTAAAATAAGTCCAGAATTTGTATGGCTCTAAAGTAAAAATTACAAAAGGTAAACTCAGAGAAGTCTCATTCCCCCCCATCCATCGATAATAAGAAACCATTTTCATTTATTTGTAGTGTGTGTGTGTGTATTTCCCTCTTAGTTCCCACAGCACAAGTAGGTTTCTGCATGTAATAGGGCCTTTTGTACCTCGCTTTTTTCCCTTCACAACACACCCTGCCCGACCTGTGTCCTCGCTCTCCAGGCTGTTGTCTTGTCCTCCCCACACAGCCACATCTCACCCTGCTCCCAGTGTGCTTGAGAATACAATTAGGAGGGCTTCCCTGGGGGCCTGGGGGTTTGAGAATGTGCCTGCCAGCACAGGGGACATGGGTTCAGTGCCTGGTCCCGGAAGATTCCACATCCCCTGTGCGCAACTGCTGAGCCTGCATGCCACAGCTACTGAAACCCAAGCACCCTGGGGCCCGTGCTCCGAAATGAGAGGCCACCAAAATGAGAAGCCCGCCCACTTCAAAAGAGCGGCCCCTGCTTGACACAGCTAGAGAAGCCTGCACACAGCAACAGAGACCCAGCACAACCAAAATTAAATAAATACATCTTGGAGAAAAAAGAGTACAATTAAGAGATCTGCATGGGCTGGACTTGCAAAGGGATCAACCTGCCTTTGGCAGGAGTTTTACTGCATCCTTCTTTGGAAAAGAAGAAACATAAAAAGAAACAGCTTGTTCAAAGTCCAAATTCTTACTTTATGGATGTAAAAAGTCCACGTAGCTACAAGATTACCCTGGTTTTCAGCCATGCTCAGACTGGTGCTTTGTGTAAGTTGTTCACTCGTGTGGTGTCAGCCAACAGGAGAAAAGACCAGATTCACAGAAGGGTGTTCATGTAGAAAAGCAACACTGATGATCCACACACCTTCCTGAGCTCGTGTTCTATCACAGGAAGCCCTATCAGTTCAGTAATTCTAGTTCATCTGCCTAGATTAACTAATCATGTTTAATTTTGTAAGGTATACAACTTGCTCTCCTATTTTGATGTCAGTTTTTCAATAAAGTTTTGATTATGGGTGAAAAAATACAATTAAAAATCTTTCCTGTAGCACAGAACAAATTTAAATATTTTTCTAAAAAGCTGCCTGTTGTCCCAACACCATTTGTTGAAAAGGTGGTTTTTTTTCCCACCTTCCTCAGATACTGTGTTTCTGGTCTTTCTCTTGATCTGTCTGTCCATAGGCCAGTATCATACTGTTAAAACTGTATAGGCTTTACACACCTTGTAATATGTGGTGGAGCTGGGCCTCTTACTGATCTTGTTCTGGGGGTGTTCCTAGATATTCTTGCATACTTATGTTTCTGTATGCATACCTGGTGACTCAGATGGTAAAGAATCTGCGTGCAGTGCAGGAGCCCTGAGTTTGATCCCTGAGTCAGGAAGATCTCCTGGAGAAGGAAATGGCAGCCCACTCCAGTATTCTTGTTTGGAGAATCCTATGGACAGAGGAGTCTGGCAAGCTATAGTCTATGGAGTCACAAAGAGCTGGACACTACTGAGAGATTAACCCTCCACTTCATGAACTTAAGAATCACATTCAATAACAACAAAAAAAAAGAATAACGTTCAGATCCAGAAAAAAAAAAAATGATGCTTTTACTTTTATACAGTAATATTTAGTTAGGGAAGAATTGACTCTTATGAGGCTGAGTTGTCCTTTCCAAGAACAAGGGCTGTCTTTCCTTTGGCCCAAGTATATTTTGTGTGTTTTTGGTTTCTCAGCACCAGCCACACCTCCAAGCTATGACTAAGGCCATTGAACTCTGAGGTGCAGAGAGGCCTTGTTGCCCCGGTATTCACACAGCTTTGTTGCAGGACGTGAGGCAGGAGGTGCTGTGGTTGACACACCTTTCTCCATCTCATGGCTGGAGGGCGGGAGGAACAGAGAGTCACAGTACACACAGGCCTAGAGTGGCCGGTGACGTAATTAGAGAGAGATGAGGTAAGGCCCAGGCCGGATCTCCTGGGTGTGGTGTTGGAGCTCGTTCCAGCCTGTTCCCTGAATGTCCCTGCATACCTTGTTCCTCCAACTCCCTCCCCAAGAAAGCAGTTAGGCCTCTTATGTTTCTGGCTCCTTTGTTAAATTAGTAATACTCCTCAAACTTTCTATCTCATTGTAAGGCTGACCATCAAGAAAGAAAGGCTGCCTTTCTACCACAGCTGGTAAAGAGGCCATGTATCTGCTGCTTTGTGCCACCCCAGTTCTCTCAGGTCCATTTGGACAGTTTCAGCAAATAGGAATGTTTAGAGAACCCTCTGGGTAACCAGTGTATTTCATCTTTATCCTAGGTTTCTACATGACCAAAATAGTTCGGCTTTCAAATTCTATCGAAAGAAGGTATTTGAACTGTGCCCGTCGATTCGCTTTACGTCATCTCCACTGACGCTCCATGCCAGCGAGCGCGCCGATTCTCAGGAGAGCCCTCTGGGGCCCCCGGAAGGAGAAGGGGAGTTTGAGGACGAGCCCTCTCAGCACGAGGCTGAGCTGGAGAGCCCAGAGGCGATGCCTGAGGAGGAGGAGGACGATGAGGAGGATGAGGAAGGGGCCGAGGAGGCCTCCCCGCCTGGAGCGGCCTCCAGGCCGGCAGAAGGGGCCAAGCCTGAGGGCTCGGAGGGCAGCCCCGCAGCCGACGGCCTCCTGAGTGAGGTGGCCGAGGACAGCCCGGCTGGGGGGCCTGCCCTGGCCCAGGCCTCCTCAGGGGCCTGCTTCCCCCGGAAGAGGATCAGCAGCAAGTCACTCAAGGTCGGCATGATCCCAGCTCCCAAGAGGCTGTGTCTCATCCAGGAGCCCAAGGGTGAGTGCCTGGGTGTTGGTCCAGTGACCACAACGCTTCTTCTCCTTAATACCTGAGGAGGGATGGTGCTCAGCTGGGGTCCATGGAAAATCGTGGAGACATGGCCTGTTTTGAGGAGTTTACCTGACCCCCCCAGCCCAAGTTTAGCTGTAAGATGACCGGCTGGCCCCTGTCGTCCCTTCTGCCTCTGATTACTCCAGCTAACCTGGGCACTACCTTTCAGAATCCCCCCCAGGGCCAGCACAACCTGGGGCTCTTTGGTCTTGTATTTTATTTAACCTAAAATAGTCCTATTGGTCTTGCACACAGTCCAAAATGTTCATGAGAAACTGACGTTTCCAGTTGGTCCAGAGATGGCACTCTAAGGAGATGCTGCCTTTGGCTTCTAGCACCCCACATGTTGCTTGTTATTTTCCGTTATTGCTCAGCTTCCAACAGGGGAGTCCTGGCTGTGGAAGGAACAGGCCTGGGTCATCTTGACTGTTTACTGCCTGTGATCTAGAGGGGTGCCCAGCTTTCTGAGCACTGCCCCCCCCACCCCCCCTGCAAGGCCCCAGGGTAGTGATACCTGCTTGATGATGTTGAGGCAGGGGCCATGGAGCAGTCTGGGACAGCAGTTAGTGGGACCTGTGGAGCCCATGCTCTGCCAGCCTTGGCCATGGAAGGCCATCTCCTTCTCACCTATAGGGAGGGTCAAAGTTCTTGAGGTACAATTTACCAGCAATAAAAGTGCGCTCTTTTCAAGTGGCTAGTTCATGGAGTTTTGGCAAAGGTGTATAGGCATGGGCCACCTGGGAATGCTGAGCTGGAACTTCTTCCAGAAGTGTCTCTCTGTCCCTCCACAGTCTCCTCTCCTACCTGGCCACAGCAACCACTGACCATTTTCTGGCCTTGTGGTTTTGCCTTTTTTGGACTGTCAGTAGGTAAATCACATCATGTGCCACTTTGGGTGGGCTCCCTGCTGCCCACCCAGGTCTCCACACAGCCAGGCCTGGGCCATGTTTCTCCTGTGGGGCTGATCCTTCGATGCTTGTGTGAGAGGAGGTGGTTTTGGTGAACAGTGCTGCAGTGTGTGTAGAATCTATGTGCTCTAAGTCATTAAGAACATCATATTCACACCCAGCAGTATCAGTCTAGTTTCTCCTGCTAACAGCTCTCATGGTTTCTGTTTAGAAACGGTGTTGCAGTCAATTGCTAACTCTCTGTTAAACTCTTCTGTCCTTCAGAACTTACCAGAGGGCAGTAGCACATCAGAATACTTGTTATGATGGCCTTCATGGGGGAAAAGTGGGATTCTTTCAATTTTAGAAGCTCTCAGTTATTTGATAGGGTGGTTGATGAGATAGTACCAGACCTGCTAGTCTCTTCCTTTGTCAAATATAATAATAATAATGATATGATGTAGTGCTCTGTATGAGAAGTGTGATTGTTTTTACTGGAAAGTTCTGTGTGGACTTTAGTTCTTCATCTACGGAATACTTGCAGAGACATGGAAGAGGGCACAGTGTCACAAATTGGTCATTTGTTGAAGCAAAATGCATTCCTCCAGTCACGGAAAGCAGTGCATGTGTTGGGTCCATCATCGTAAACGTGGCAGTCACACTTAAGGAGACTCTCCCACAGCAAGGCAGCGCTCAGCTGAGCCTCTGTGTTCGTTTCTGCGCTCTGCGGGCCAAGCGACTGGCCCCAAAGTACAGCTCCTAGCTGCCTCTGTCGGCAGAAAGGCTGTTAGCCAGAGCTGCAGCATGCTTGTCTTCCAAGTGTCAGTAATTTGGGGAAAAGACATGTGTATTTGTATATATACATTTCTTTTGTCTTCCAGTTCACGAACCAGTTCGAATTGCCTATGACAGGCCTCGGGGTCGCCCCGTGTCCAAGAAGAAGGTGAGCATGGCTGAGTGTTCTCACATGTGACATAGAGCTTGCCCGAGTTCTCAAGGGTACTGACTGCAGGCTGTACTCACTCTGCAGGCCAGGTGTCAGCATGCGAAGAACATCACACAGCCTTATCTCTCTTAAAACTGTTTTGCATTGCCCAGAGCACAGGATGGAGTAATTAGTCTATTTAATGGATGGGTAAGGCCTGATGTGTGCAGTGGATCAGAGAGATGAACAAGATAGTGTCTCAGCCATTGAGAGGTTAAGATTTACTGGACTGTAATTGTGGTTAAGAGAGTGCGCGGCTTTGCTAGTGAGCTGAGCGTGTGTGTGAACGCGTGCGCGCGCAGGCGCTCATTAACGAGCCAGCACCTCCCTCCCGTGCTCTTTTCCGTCTGCCCACCCGGAGGCAGCAGTGCGCAGGGCTGTCGGCCACAGAGACGGGCAGAACCGGGAATGGTGGGAGGCCTGAGAGAAGCCCCGGGGCAGACACAGGCCGGCAGAGCCCTGTCGCCTGGAGCGGAGCGGCGGGGGTGGGGCGCTGAGGACGCGGAGGTGGCAGCAGCCGGGTCACGTGGGGTCTGTAGGTGGGTGTCAGCACTGTGCCCCTTCTTCGGGGAGGTGTCAGGGAGCCAACCCTGGTGGGGGTTTGGGTAGAAGACATGGTCATTAGGACTACTGTGCGGAAAGCAGCCTGTGTGCTAGCAGGCCAGGCAGAGCTGAGGCCCAGGCGGGGTGAAGTGGAGTTGGTGGGACTTAAGGATGGACTGAACGTGGACTGGGAAGCCAAGAAGAGTCCGGGGTGACTCTGGGGTTGTCGGCCTGGACAGTTAAGGGAACAGGGCTGCTGTTGACTGAAATGGGGCCCCCCTGTGGCGGGTGGGTCATTGGAAGGAGATGAGAGCAAACTTCAGTCAAGTGAGGCTGGCCCAGCTCACCTGGGACACACGTGGGGACATCACAGGGCTCTGGCAGTCCAGGAGGTGAGTGGGGAACCAGGTGTCTCTGCGGGTGTCCGGGGTGAGGAAAGCCCGTGTGGTGGCTCAGACTGTTCTGAGTACATCACGCCAGTCTCAGCAGACAGATGAAGTGTCAGTGTGACCTCAGTTACAGGTGGGAGCAGGAACATCCCTGTGCCTGAAGCATGTGTTTTTAACAGGTATGTTGAGTTTTAAGCTGAGCCAGCTCCCAGGTGCCATCTGGTGAGGCACAGCCTGCTGAGAAGGCAGCCATTCCAGGCTCAGCCTGGCCATCCAGTCTTGGCATGAGGCCCTGTTTGTACAACTGTAAAGTGGGACAATCGCACCTACCTTACAGGTCGGAGATCCCGCAAGGATTAAATGAAATGGTGTTAACCAAGCGTGCAGCCAGCCGGTATCCTGCCACAGTGGGTCTCTGGGGTGATTGCTGACAGGGAGGAGGTCTCCTCTGTGCACTCCGCAGCCTGGCCTCAGGTGCATGGCTTTGCTCTAGACCCAGGAGACCGGGCAGGCTGATTGTCAGACACAGTTGAAAACTCACCAAGATCTGTCCGGCTGAGTGGACCCCTGTTCCTCTTGTTGCTTCCACTTGCGCAGCTTCCCTGAAGTGGGGTGCAAGCCTGCCTTTGGGGGACCCGTGGCCAGCCTTTCCTGTCCCTTCTCCATCCTCTTTCCACCCACACTTGTACCGTCCCTGCTGCTCCTAGTTGCCTTGATCAGGACACAGGAACCTTCTCCCTGGGAGCGGATGAGCCGCTCTCAGTCTCCCCAGGCTGAGGTGGATTAAAGAAACAAGCTCAGGCCTCAGGCCGCAGGAACTGTGAGGCCTTAGCTGCCCAGACTTTGCAGCACACAGTAGGTGCCCATGAATATTCATGAGTGAATGGAAATTCCCGCAGCTCACCCAGGGCAGCTGTCTCCTCCAGAGGCCTCTGGGCCTTTTCATTTGTCTTTCCACAGCCTGCTCTGGAGCACAGATCTCTGCCAGGGCTTCTCACTTCTCCACCCACAAGGTCATTCCCAGGCCCCATCCTTCCCAGCATTACCCACTCTCAGCAAGGTCTGCTCTGTGCTAGACACGGACCCCAGAGTCCAGGCAGAACCTCATCCCTGCCCTTGGGGAGCATTCAGAGCTCAGACACACATAGGTCAGTCAGGGTTGGTAGTAATGCCTGAGGGCTGCCCAGGGAGCTTCCAGGGTGGAGTCACTGTCCAGCGTTGTGAACGCTCTCAGGAGTGAGTGAAAGGATGAGGGAGGAGTGGACGTGGAGTGGAGAGGACCCTTTGAGACGGTTTTCCTGTACAGCCTCTCTCTGTGCCTGTCTGGCCCCCTTCTGCGTTAGCCCTGCTTCCTCTCTGACTCTGGCACTCCAGGGGCCTTCCTGCCTCAAGGCCTGTTCCACCCAGCCTGGGATATGCCCCCTGATGACCACATGGCCACTTTCTTTATTCAGGTCTCCACTCTGGATCTTGCTAGTCAGAACTTCTGGGCCCAGTCCCTACCATCCCCTCACAAAGTTTAGTTCACAGTCTCAACACTGCAACAAGAGTGGTCGCAGCGAAGCCTGAGAGACGGGTCTGGTTCAGTTCTCTGGGGACACTTCAAGCTGTGACCTCCAACCTTTACAAATATCAGCCCACCCAGGGAATGTTGCCAGGACTGTGACTTGATCTTGAGCATCTAGGGCCATCAAAGGGGCGTTCGGGGTGTTGGTACTGGACCATGTCCAGGTGCAGCCCAGGGGAGACTCTTGATCCAGGCGCTTTGCTACCCCTCATGTGCCACACTCTTCTCTCTCCTCAGAAACCCAAGGACTTTGACTTTGCCCAGCAGAAGCTCACCGACAAGAACCTGGGGTTCCAGATGCTACAGAAGATGGGCTGGAAGGAGGGCCATGGCCTGGGCTCCTGTGGGAAGGGCATCAGGGAGCCCGTCAGCGTGTATGTGGCAGGTGTCGGGGGCCGGGGGGGCGGGCAGCTGTGCCCGGGGAAACAGGCTCTCTGGGGGATTCTGGCCCTGAGTCCTATGACCAGCACCCCTTGGTTTCCCTGATGTTGAACGTGGCTTCTAGCAGGTCATTTCCCTGTTCAGGTGTTCACACAGATTCTGGCTGCATTTGCGTAGACTTGGTCCTTGGCATTTGGCCACGTTCATTATTATCAGAAAAGCCGAGTGGTAATTCTAGGTAGTTACGCTAACAGCCACTTCCCTTTTCCGGGAACCCACACTCAAACTAGCCAGGAGAGAGCATGGCCCACAGTTTAGGAAGCCCCACTAACATGCAGCAAGCATTTCTGTTAAAAGTGAGCTTAGCACCTGCTGGGGAGGCTTTCTGCTGTAAATACGGGGCTGGCTTCTGAGCACGCTTCTCAGAAGGCCCACAGGCCTGCACAGGTGAGTATCCCTTGTCCCCATCGTGAGCTGTGTCCTTATTTCCTCTTTCCCTTGCTGTCACTGGCGTGTGCCCCTCTGGCGGCTCAGGCCATGTCCATCCCCTGGTGGCCAGGCCACGGGCTCAGGCGTGGCTAACTGTCCGTTTTGCTCCTCAGGGGAAGCTCGTCAGAAGGGGAGGGGCTGGGTGCCGACGGGCAGGAGCACAAAGAAGACACGTTTGATGTCTTCCGTCAGAGGATGATGCAGATGTACAGACACAGACGGGCCAGCAAATAGGTATGTGTGTGAGCCGGTGGGGGGCGCTCTGCCTGAGCCAGCGTGCCAGGGCGTAGAACACAAACACCAAAGTATCACTCCCCCCAAATCATAAACCTGAGGGAAACACTAGGGGTGTTTGGCTGTGGGTGCGTCCCGCCTCTCACCTTCCAGGTTTGGCTGAAGGAGCGAGCCCCCGCTCACCCTGCGCCGCTGCCTGCAGCCTGTGGTGGGGCCTGAGCCCTGGGCCGTCCTGTGGAAACAAGCTGCCTCGGAAGTGGCCTTGTGTCCTGCACGTGTAAGGGTGACCTCGAAGCTGGCACCGCAGAGGACGCCACTTGTACCTCGTCTCAATTTGAGGGTCTTCCAGTCCTTTTCCTTCCGGAGGGCCTTTGGCCTATAAATATCCTTATCTTTCTCCCCTCCTCTTAGTTTTCTTCCCGACCCATAATTTCCAACTCAGTTTTGAACAAAATCGTTCTCTCCCTGAATAGATGAAAACCATTGGTGAGAAAGATAAGGCTTGAAGCAGCAATTACTCTTAAAACGCCACCTCTGTCCCGGATCAGCCCTGGAGCCAGTGCCCAAGTAGGTTTGGTGTGTACATGGAAAGCAAACATCTCTGCAGTTTCTGGTGTGGAGGTTCCACCCGCTGGCTTTTCTTTTTCTTAAAAAACAAACAAAATGCCCCGTTTCTAGTCTGCTTTTGCCTTTCCCCCTTCTTCCAAATGCTTTTGGCAGCAGGTCTTCTGCAGGTCTCTGCTGGTTCCACTCAGAAGGTGGGGTTGCCCTTGAAAGCACCAGCGCCCTGTAAGTGCCCGGAACCGGCCTCCGTCGGGTTTCCTGCCCAGGACACACTGCTCTCTGAAAGCGATCTGTTGGCAAACTTAATCCTGAAATAGTCATGGATTGTGTCTTCTCAAATTCAAATAGGGAATATGAATCAGGAATAATGAAGCCTGTGCTCTAGTACCACAGCCTGTCGGTCTGAGTGCTGAAGCTCTTTACACTAGTGGATTCAATGAACATATTATTTATGGAGTCTCAACTCTTAAATGCATCCCTAGAGACTTAATGAAAGTTCACTGATGTATTCAGCAGCTTAATTCATTGGGGAGTAATTATTACACTAATGAAACTTTCCCCAAATTTAAATTCTCTTTAAAATCCACAAAGCAAACTAGTTTTTTTTTTTAACCACATATGGAGTGTTTCCTGCAAGGGGTCGGAGGGTGAACTCTTCAAAGTTCCGTTTTCTGCCTGCGTGCAGCGTAAGGAGTTGTTTTGTTAGGGACAGAAAGGGTCCTCTTGGGGTGGGCTCTGCAGCTGTTTGCTATTTCAAGACGTATGATGGCCGCCCCTTCCCGCTTCTCACACTCCACCTCTTGCAGCTACATGTGGAATTCTCAGGCTGGGGGATCTCTCAACCCTTCATCAGAAAGCAGCAGTGTTGAAGTTTTAAATATGTGTTAAAACCTGAAAAAAGAGATCCTGCTGATAACTGTAAGCTTGGGGGACACAGCGGTGAATGACCCCATCAGCCACTTTCATTGACAGTTATGAAATCCTCATTTTCTCAAATCTTCAGCTCTCCTGGGCTATAGTACCAGCCTCCTCTGGATCTCTCTCTGTCTGGCCCGCACTCATTGGCACAGCGTCGCATTCCCACCTGATGCTGCCTGTCTTCATGTCACGGGTAGTCCCCAGAGCTCTGCTTGCTCCTGGTCACTTCTGTTGTTTTGGCAGATGTTTATGGGTGGACGTGTTGGAGGTTCTTCAACAGAGTTGAAATAGCCTGCAGGGGTGGTGTGGTTTGGGGGAATCACCTCCTTTTTTAATCCTTCCAATAGCCTTCCATGTTGGCTGTGAGTCAGGCAGAGTGATTGAACTCTGAGACCTGGGCCTCAGTCCCCCATGGCCCGTCACGGAGCGCGCATGCCCAGCGCACGCCCAGGGTGAGGTGTGCACCCCCAGCATGGGTTCTCGCTCTTCAAGCGTAGCTTTGACCATCACATTCACTTTGTCCTAGTGTGTCATTCCTAGCTTTCTGCTTTTATTTGTAAATACAATACTTTAGGAATTCCCAGGATTCGAGCCCTATTCAATCCACAGCCTCCTGCCACCCCTCCTGGGGGTGTCCTGCTTTGGCTGACACTGAGCCTTTGGCAAACGTCAAAGGGAACACCTACTTCTTGAGCCTGGAAAGTCCCGTAAACACTCAGGTGACATTTCTGTGGTGACGGCATTGCGGCAGTCAAGGCGTTGTGGGGGCCGGGGAGGAGCGTGGCGGTGCGCCCCGCCCGTCTCCGGGGACCAGCACGCTGGCCCCACGCCTGCCCTTGCTCTCTCCGGCAGAGGCCACTCTGCGGGGGCGTGCGTGCCAGCAAGCGTGACGTGCAGCTGCGTGGCCTCGTCAAAGTCACAGTGTCTTTTCTGTCATTCTAGTTCCAGGGGCTCTTCCGTGAGGACGACAGGCATCCGGAAAGTGCTAGCTCGCCACTTTGGGTGCTTACTGTCTCTGCCTTGTTTCCATCACTGGAAATCATAGAGAATTTTAGCTTTTTGGTCCTTGGTAAAACCTAGAAGACATTTGTGATGTTACAAAATGGAAGTTTGGGGGGTTTGGGGTTGTTTTTTTTCTTTTTTTTTAATCTAAGAAGTTGTGGATGTTGTTAATCATTTAGCAGTTGAAATAAATGTAGAGAAAACCCAATTTTCCATGGTCTCCATTGATGCATTTTTCAATCGTACTGGCTGGGGAACATGTGGTGGGGCATACACGGAGACAGACTGTAAAATTGCTGCCTCTCAGGCATGTGCTCTGCCAGCCGGGGCCTCTCTGACTGCCCTGCTGCAGTTGGGGGGCCTGGTAAGTCACGAGGAAAGCCTGAAGAGTACCAGAGAGCAGGTAGTGATCAGGGCCAAGCATAGTGGTTGGGTCCACCATATTTTTTGTGGAGAATGAGGGGTGAGTTGCTGGGTACAGAAATCTGCCTTTGAGAGTGTATCAGGATATGGGAGCTTTACCTGAGCCACCCACAGTTCACCTGCCCACCTCACAGCCTTGCCAGGGTTGGGATTCCAGCTGCCAGAGTTAGACCAAGGCCCACTCGGGCTTCACCCTGACTTAGGAGCCAGCCTGTGGAGTATCTTCAGTGCTCATTGCTGTTCCCAGGTGTAGCCCTGTCTCTGTCTGCTTGCTCCATCAGCAGCCCCTTGGCCCTTCTGGTGAGGAGGGAGGGTCCAGAGCACACAGGCAGGCAAGCCTGGCATCAGCAGGGCCTGTGGGGACCTCCACCTGAGCACAGCCTGCTTGTGCCCAGGGTCGCAGACAGCCCAGGAAGGTTTGGGGATCTTTGTTAGCAAGTTAGGGGTGGAGGAGATTAAAAACAAGGAATATATATATATATATTTTTTTTTTAAAAAGATAAAACCAAAAAACTATCAGGTCACTAACACCCCCCGCCCCACTCTCCTCCTCCCTCTTGGGAGACCCCCTTCCCAGCTCTATCACTGCTCAGGGCTGGGGAAGACACACAGAACAAGGTTCTCCACCCAGGAGAGCTCAGGACGGTCTTTACCTCAGGCCTATTTCCATCTGCGATTTGGGAAGGATTTCTTTCAGTTTGGAAGGTAAAATTTCCTCTGCTACCTTGTCATTTAGGGCTGATTGGAACCTGAACATACCATTACCAGCGTGGATGGCCTCTCCCCACGCCTTCCTCCCCCCTCATCCTCCCCTCTCCTGGGAAGCCTTCGGACCAGGACCTTGGGAAAGGCAGATGGTGCTGCTGGAGAAGCTCTAGTCTATGGACCTGTGTAACATGCACACGTAATACCTACAAGCATACACACCCAGGCAACATGAGCGTGTTTTCTTTGTAAAAGACTTTTTAAAATGCAAAACCCAGATAGATGCAGAACAAAGCACAGAGGTTTCCCCTCTTTCCCACTCCCATGTAAAAGTAACAAAAAATAAAAATTTAAGACTCACCACGCATGCTACCTTGCTCCTTGGAAGCAAAGCTATGACCAACCTAGACAGCTTATTAAATAACTTTGCTAACAAAGGTCCGTCTAGTCAAAGCTATGGTTTTTTCAGTAATCATGTATGGATGTGGGAGTTGGACTATAAAGAAAGCTGAGCACTGAAGAATTGATCCTTTTGAACTGTGGTGTTGGAGAAGACTCTTGAGAGTCCCTTGGACAGGAGATCCAACCAGTCCATCCTAAAGGAAATCAGTCCTGAATATTCATTGGAAGGACTGATACTGTAGCTGAAACTCCAATACTCTGGCCACCTGATGCGAAGAACTGACTCATTTGACAAGACCCTGAAGTGGAAAAGATTAAAGGCAGGAGGGGAAGGGGACGACAGAGGATGAGATGGTTGGATGGCATCACTGACTCAATGGACATGGGTTTGGGTGGACTCCGGGAGTTGGTGATGGACAGGGAGACCTGGCGTGCAGCAGTCCATGGGGTCGCAAAGAGTCAGACATGACTGAGCAACTGAACTGAACTGAACTGCCTGCTACCTAGAGACTTGCTTCCTCATGGTCTAAACAGTCTTTCCACATGAGTATAATTTTCAAGTACTGTTTGTGAATAAGTAATACCTAGCTAAAGTCAAAATGTACAGAATTGTGTTCCATGGGAAAATAATTTTCCACAACCCAAGGCACCCAGGCCTCAGATCCCTTTGTGTAGATGATTTTAGATATGGGCATGTTTTAGACAGAACCCTTCTTAAAAATGCAAATTATACTTCACATTCTATTCTGCCTTCTGTGTTTTTTCACTTAACTTTCAAAAATACATTTACATATATATATGTCTTGGACTGGTCTCAGGTGGGTGCTAGTGGTTAAGAACCACCTGCCAATGCAGGAGACATAGGAAACGCAGGTTCAATCCTAGGGTCAGGAAGATGCCCTGTAGTAGAAAATGGCAACGCACTCCAGTATTCTTGTCTGGAGAATCCCCACGGACAGAGGAGCCTGGCAGGCTAGTCCATGGGGTCGTAAAGAGTCGGACATGACTAGGCACGCACGCATGCACACGGACAGCCTTGGACTATCATTTATCTCACAGGTTCCCCACCCATAGCCACATGGGTTGTCCAGAAACTTTGGCCTGCCATCACAGATTAGCTTTGTGGATAAAGCTCTAGAAGTAGCATTTCTGGAGTCCTCTCTGCGGTCTCCACCTCACTGCCCCTCTCCGCAGAGTTCCCATGTCACCCAACTTAGGGGACAACCCTGGGGGTGCCCTTGTTTCCGCAGCTCTGTCTGCCTTGCCAGAGCACAGAGGGGCTGTGGATCCTGGAGGTGCTCCCCTGCAAACCGGAGCCTGTGACCCTGACCCCCTGGACCATTTCCTTGCACTATACTCGGGACCCAGGCCCAGCCGCCACCCCTTGGCTTCCCCCGGACTCCTTTAACCCCATCGCCCCCTCCACCCTATTATGACCTGTGTGGCGTCAGCACAGCTGTAGCCGATGGTTCCCTGAGTGGCCATCGACCAGGGTAGGGGACGCTGCCTCTCCAGGCCTTGACTCCCCCCTCTTCACCTGCCCAAGTGTTATCATGGGGGCTGAGGATGTACCAGCTGGGAGTGAGGCAGAGGGGAAAGGCGGCCTGCCACAGCAGGCGGTGGGACTCTACACCTCGACTCCTCCGGTGAAATGGGTTAGCTGGTTTGCAGGGTAATCCAGGCCCACTTCTAGAGCGGGACTGGTGTCGTTACTGACCCTTCCTTACCCCATCCTGTTGGGCCTTAGTTTCCCCACCTGTGAAGCAGGCACTGACCGTGAGGATCCCAACCCCCTTCAGAGTGCCCTCCTCACCCCTCTCCATGGGCAGAGCCACACCCCCAAAGCTGCCCCCCTTCCTGGGCTGAGGCCTAGGGTCCAGCCCCTAGGAGAGGAGTAAATTGTCAAACTCCCATGTGTTTGGGGCACGGGTTCTATTGAAGGGAACGACCAGGGTTGACATTGTTTTGCTGGGGCTGGAGCCAAACTCCTGCTCAGCTGCAAGATTCTGCCAGCTGTCCTGTACCTTTTGTACAGACGGGGAAACTGAGGCCCAGGAAGGGGAAGAGCCCAGGCCCAGGCTGCACAGGAAGCACTTCAAAGTCTCCGTGCCTGCTCAAGCCTCAGCTTCCCCATCTGGGGAGGGCTGGCACTGTGCTGCAGCAGGCAGCAACCTTTTGAGCCAGTCCTTGAGATTTACAGCTGAGCCCTGGGGTCAAGTATTGTCTTCTGCCCCTGGATGTCAAGTATGAGGGAGACTCCTAAACTACCCCACTGGCCATCAGTCGGGGGTGACTCTCCACCCTGCCGTGAGGCTCCACTCTGCCTAAAGAATCTCTATTCAACCTTCGAGGCCCACCTCCCATGTCTCCTCCTCCAAGCAGCCTTCCCTGCTCTGCCCAACAGAGGCCCGACTGCCCCTCTGGCTTCCCCAGGTCCGTCCCTCAAACTCTTGGCTTGGGATGTTCAAGTCCCACTCTGTCTCACCCAGGTTGAGAGCTCCTTCACCCAGGCCTTCTTGTCTTAAACCCCCAGCATTGAATGAGTGTTTCATGAAAGGACAATGAGCACAGTGTCTGAAGGGGACCCGCTTTGGGGTAGGACATGCAGACCCAAGTCAAGTCCTAAACCAGGGCCATGACAATGGGTGACGCTGAGCAAGCTCCATGACCTCTTGGTCTCCATCTCCTACATCCATAACATCGGATGATGAAGTGTAAGCTCAAGGAGTGCGAAACGTACCATTGAAAATCACTTTTCTCCAGTATTTTACAGTGCCGTTTTAATTATTTACTTTTAATTTTTGGCCATACCACACAGCTTGCAGGATCTTTGTTCCCCAACCAGGGATTGAACCGGGGCTCCCTGGCAATGAAAGTGCTGAGTCCTAACCACTGGTCCACCAGGGAATTCCCATATATCATCATTTTAAAACACTGTATCGGGCTCTAGGGAAATAGAGATACAAGCTCAGAATACATACATGCATCATCACAGACAAATTCTGGAAAACTCCACATCCATCTATCAACAGAGGTTCCTTGGGAAGTGGGCTGAGCTGCGGGTGGAGTTTCTTCTATTTATCTCTTTGTGGTTTAAAATTTTTGCTTATATGATTTTAGAGTGACAGAAATTTATGGTCTAGGAAAACGTGGATGATAAACTAAGCCTTGGCTTTGCTTTGAGAATCAAAGGAGATCACAGGTGTCGACTTCGGAGCCTGTAGCCCAGACTGTGTGCATAACCAGTCTCCTTCCAATGGTCTCCCTGGACTGCACTCTTCACATCCATCAGGAGCTGGCCCATTTCCCAGTGGAGAAGCTGAGGTCTGGAGTCTGACTCCAGACTCACACTGAACACCAGGATTTCCAGTTGGTCTCACTGTTGCCAAAATCTTGGCTCCTTGTCCGCCAATGCCAAACAGAAATACGGAGACAGAGTTTGGAGGGAATAGAAAAGAGTAGCTTTATAGTTTTTGCCAGACAAAAGGGAAACACAGCAGGCTCGTGCCTCAAGAACTGTGCCCCCTTTCTTGGGAAGAGGGAGAGGTTTTATATCCTCTTGAAGAGCTTGCTTTATTTTTTTTTTCTTTTGCAAAGTTTCGAAATGAACACAGCTAGCATTAGGCAGCCCAGCTGGGTCCGGTGTCCCTGAAGTTATCAGCCCCTGACCTTTCTGAAATGCA